TCCCTTAGGGAAAAAAAGGGTAGCCTGCATGCTTATTTTGAAATCAGTTCGGGCTGGAAATAAACTCAGTAGTAGTACATTTCATCGACTAAACGATGCATGTCCAAGTCACCGGGTCTTGAATACACATGGGAGTCAGGTTGCGATGGATTCACTAGCCACAGTTGTCCCGCCTTGTGGCGCAGGTACCCCACCATGATGGTCTGTGGTTCGCGTCGGTCCAGCAGCCTGACGGGTCCAAGGTCCAACCCAAGAGCAAACCAACAAACACTCCTCCTGGCTATTATTTAACTCTACGCGCACGGCATCTTCCTACACCAAAGGAAGCCCCCCATTCTATATCGCATACGTTCGCGACTCTAGAACGTCCGATACAACGTCAAGCAGCTTGCAACCCGACACCGCTTGAGCGCAAGTGAGAAACACACAGTCACAATGCAGATCAAGTACGTTGCGAGACTTGTAGAAGATGCGCGTTTTCTTTGGAAAGAGTGAATACTGACAAGGGACAGAGTACGAACACTCACCGGCAAGGAGATTGAGCTCGATATCGAGGCAGACTACAAGGTACGCTCATCCCATCGACTGCATCGCGCACTCATCGTCGAAACCATTCCAAGTCTCGAGTCTCTACTAGAAGCAAAAGCGGAAGATCACAGTAGCGACACGGAAATGATTTAGGCTGACAATATGCAGGTCTCGAGGATAAAGGAGCGCGTTGAGGAGAAGGAGGGTATTCCACCGGCGCAGCAACGTCTGATCTACGGAGGAAAGCAGATGTACGTCTGTCCATGTCAAGGAGTCTATCCTGGATATGATTATACCCAAATTGTCTATTCACGGGCAAAATAAGCCAAACAAAACTAATACAAGTTTCGCAGGAGCGATGACAAGACCGCATCAGACTACCAGCTCGAGGGTGGTGCTACTCTGCACTTGGTACTCGCGCTTCGCGGTGGCTTCTAGGCCTCCATTCGTCCACCCGCCCACTCTGCCTACCTACACGCCCTTTCCGCCTACCTACTACATGAGACCTCGCATACTGTTGGAATGGGCGTGAGCTGATTCTTTGCCGCACATCCCGATGATAAGATTGCAAAAGGGCTCGATGTGCCGTGAAGTCACCATAAATTCAGCCATATGATGTGGGAAGGGCGCAGGATTGGCATAACATGGAGTGTGTATTTTTCTATTTGAATGAGAAGGGCTGAGGTCAGAGTAAGCATGCAGCTTAGAGCACAGAGATGAAAGACCTACTGTTTAGTAGTAATGCGGATTCATGATTGGCATTTACGTGTACTTTGTCTATACTGCTTTTCACTTTCATGGGTTTGTTCATCTGGGATCAACAGCCAAGTCAAGCATCTTGGCTATGTCCTCCGTACTGTCTCGGAAACACACAAGTCAGGCGTCCCAGCCAGCACAGATACGTCGAGTATCCAAGAATTCGCGCAAAATAGGCAATGACTCACATCCCCATACTGTCCTGATCTAGAACCCCCGATCAGGATCACTAGCCGTCTACCCAGAAGGACCTAACACGTTTGCTTATACCAACAAAGCCAAGATCATACCACAAATTGCTGACAAACTCGGTGTCTGTTGGTTGGCTTTGCACTAAGTGCGTAAAGGGAAATAACGATAACTAGGAATGCATTCTGTTCGGTGGTTCTGATTGATTGTCTACGAACATAGCTGCTACGAAGGTATACCTAAGCTCTGCGCAAGGTGGGCCGAAGTCGGGCCGAAGTGTCAAGCAGCCGACGTCTCTACCGATACTCACGATCCGACAGTGTCCGAGTTTCCCGTCCTTTTACCCCACTACCCCACCGACTTATGCGCATTACATAGCAAGCAAGTCCACATATATCTACACTTGTACTCTCTCTGTTGTTCCTAGGTTAGTGACCTTGGCAGGGACAGGATTTCCACGCTTTCAAACCCGGAGCTGTTTTCTGTTAAAGTCATTGACATTTCACCATTACAAAAAAACACCTCTACCAACTCCATGAGTATAAGAGCTGGAAGTAGGCAACATGGCACCACTTGATGATACAACACCCAAGACGCGGTTCCACAGTTTTCATGTATACAGGATACCGTACAAGAAGATTGGCGAGCATGAGATTGAAGCTGGGATTTTGGTTCCGAAAGATTTGAAAGCAGGGAAACATCCCGCTATGGTCAAGTTCCACGGTGGAGGTCTGGTATGTTAACCCATCTATCTACTTACAACTCCCCTACCTACCCCACTACTTCCGCTACAGATAAACATACCATGTTAAACTAAACCTCCACAGATCACAGGCGACTGTCTCTACCCCGACTGGATTAGTGCCTTCTCCATCCCCCTAATCCATCGCACATCCTCCATCGTTATCCTGCCCAACTACCGCCTCCTCCCCGAACACACCGGGGCAGAGATACTATCCGACCTATCCGACTTCTGGACCTGGTTTCACTCTGGCTCCGTTGAGAACTTCCTAAACAACCAACCCGCCACGCCCGCCGGTGGATTCGCCCTAGACTACGACAAAGTACTCGTGTCAGGTGACTCAGCCGGCGGCTACATGGCGCTTATGAGTGGCCTTTTGCAGCCGAAAGGAAGTATCAAGGCGATTCTGGCACAGTACCCCATGACGAATTATCTGCGGTATGAACGCGGTCCGGAGTTTTTCGGTATGCCAAGTCCACCGGAATCCGTCTTCACAGAACACGTCAAGAAGATGGTGCCAGACGCGGTTGTTTCGTCGGTTGTGCCGCCCGAGCGCATGGGCCTGGGGTATGCGATGGCGGCGTATGGGCATTATCTAAAGTGTTTCGGTGAGGACGAGAAGATGTGGCCGATTGGGTTGGTGGGGGAGAAGACGTGGGTGCCACCGACATGGATTCTGCATGGTGGGGCGGATACGGTAGTTGACGTTGGAGATACGAAGAAGTTTGTGGAGAAGTGTGAGAGGTTGGAGGGGGTGGAAGTTAGGTTGACAGTTAGGGAAAGTATGGAGCATGGGTTTGATGGCGATGCGAAGGAGGACGAGGAGCCGTGGCTTAAAGAGGGGGTGGCGTGGGTTGAGGGGAAGTGGTTGAGTTGATGAAGTCAGGGAGCATATATGAGAAAGGATGAGTATCTCTGCTGTTCATCCTATGGTAGTGGAGCTGATACGGCATGCAATATCACACATTAACGATATCTTGATTAATATACTAGTATATCCAACTACCCTTAGAGTCCAAAATCTACTTGAAAATCCCCATCATCTGCCAACATGCTTCGGTCATACATGCCATTACCAGCAGTAACGAGACCCTCGAACTGTCCCCAGCTTGCCAAATCAGACCAGTCAAAGAGATCGGAATTGAAGATTGGGTTGTTGAGCGCTGCCGCACTGTCCGGTGTCGCGGGAACATTGCCATTGTATGGAGTATTTGATAGACCCCCAGTGGGGCTCGGTGGGTTGTCCTGTGGTGTAGAGGTCGGCATCGGAAGCAATGCTGGTCGCGGCATATCGGGGTTTGCCTCGGCTGAATTCTGGAGATGTAATGTCAGTCTATGCGTTGCCAAAAAAATCGCAAGGACGCAGGGGACTCTGAAATCGCACTATAGGGACAACTCACTTCTTCTGTGACCGGCGCGGAAGTTGCCGCTACCGGTTTCAACAGTCTTCCTGATTGCCGCACAGCCTCTACCCTCAGTTCTTCCAGAACCAGACAGTATCGACGTGCAAGACAGTCGGTATCACTAACGGTCTCCAGCTGTCTTTGGCACATGACTGCCTTCTCGAAATAGCCCTCGCTCCTCACCTTCATCTCAACACCCAAACCTTGCTGAATACGATGGACATACAACACCACCACAGCACAAAACGCATAATACTGTGTAAACCAGAAGGAGCGGAAAAGGTTCGACGAGATGAAGACGTCATCGACAATGCGCAAGATTGCCATGGCGGCTTCGAGACAAGCCGTGATATTAGTGGATGTGTCATGAGTCCTGACTGGATTGGCACTCCAGTTGGGGTGTGTGGGCATATGCGTCAAGCTCGCAAAATCCCTCAGTAGAAAGGGACGGTGAATGAGCAGCAGCGCGTGGTGGTACGCCAAGTTGAGTACGGAACGCTGGCGCTGGTAGATGGGTATCAATAACTGGCTGTCGAAGCCTCCTTCAAACCCCGATCCTGCGAGGAAACCCGAGAGTGAGTTGTGCCATGCGTGCAGATCCGAAGTGTATTTTGTTGAGAGCTCAATGCGACGGGCTAGACTTGGAGGTCGAATGCAATATAGATCTCGCAGTACGAGAGAGACGATTCGGGTTAGCTTGATGTGTTCGACTGGCGCCGTCATTACGGAGTGGCAATTTGGAGCCGTGGGCTTGATGTAATTTGGAAGTAGGTCACTGTCGTTCACCACAGTTGGAAGTTCCTAAGATAGTTGTTAGTGATGTTTGGTTTCGCATAATTGGCATCGTATACCTGATCGATATCCTCGTCCTTGAAAGTACGCGGCCGACCAAGGGCTGCGGCAAGATACTTGTCTAGGGAGTATGCACACCAGAACAGCCGTCTTCTACACTCAAGTTCCACATAGTCGATGTTGTTTGATGGATCGCATCTCCTACTACGATTTAAGCCAATGGCAAGCACGAGATGCGAAAGCGTGCCGAATAAACTCCAGCAGTGGTTGATGCGAGATTGCGTTAGTAGATAAAAGCACTGCAGCAATCTTGCCTGCACGCTCGCTAGTCTTACAGCTCCACGTTCCTTGGAGAGTTGGTGCTCGGCAGCGAAGAAATAGCGGGCGCTTCATTCTGTAAGCCATGCATCCTCCATATTGCAGGTATAACTCACCTATTATTCCTAACGGCACTGCCAGGTGGCATGTACGCTTGCGCCTGTGCGAAAACCACCATCAATAACGCAGCTTTCGCTTTACCATCTTCTTTACCTCTCATTTCACCCTGGGTCTCGTAGAATTCTTCGACCAACTTTTCGATACTAGGTCGGTGTAGAAAACGGTGCGTTGGTGCCGCATAGTCGAAGTACCTTTCCACAAGTCTCTGCGCATCAGGCTTGGGAGGTAGTAAGAACAAGGACAGATCAAACTCTGGTAGTGGAGCATCACCAAAGGTGAAGATGGTAGAGTCATGCGACAGAGACGAGTCTTGATGTAGGCGCCTCTGAATACGAATCAGGAAAGAGACAGCACTCGAAGAACCAACGTAATGGCCTTGCTGGTCTCTTTGACCTCCTTGCGGCACGGGCGAGTCGCGCGAAGAAGGAGGATTGGTGTAGTCAGCAGCCGCATTAGAAGTGCTTGGGTTGGCGGTATTGACACAAGCATAATCTGGCCGGTCGATAGAGACGGAAGAGCTTGGAAAGGCGCGTGGATTCTTCAATGTCGTCCCATTGGACTCATCTTTGGCAGGTGTCTCTGATATCTTTCGCCTCTGAGACTGCGGAGTTGTGATCATGGCTGAGTCATCAACTATGACCGAAGGAAGTCTGCCTCGAGTATACGATGCAGTAAATTCGCATGGCAATTCAGCTCTCAGACACAAAGCGCAAGGGCATCTCCCAGTGCACCTCGTCTTCTTCCTAGTTTCGCGTTAGCGGACGCGTCAACCACGTGCATTTGACACCGAAATCACACAAGCTCACTTCTTACATCGGTCGCAAGCCCTACTGACTCTGCTCCTCTCTTTGTCCTCTCTTCTTCTCTTAGCTGGTGGCGCCACCCCGTCGCTTGGACTCGCCTCTGGGGTTGCGAGCAAGTTCATTCCGTTAGCGGGTGTCCATGCAGGTGCAGCTGCCGAGGATCTCGCATCGCTATCGGAGTGGACCTCTGGCTGAGGCTTATCATTATCCATTGCCCCAAAAGGTGGTACCAAGTCCACCTCATCAAAGTTCAGAAAGCGGAGTCAGAAGTCGCGAGCCGGATATGAGTCGGAAGAATTGCCGGAAAAGCGGCACGCTAACCCGGAAATGAAGATTGACCAACCAGCTTTGGACCAATGGCTTTCCAGCGAACAAGACGGTCACGCGACCATGACTATTCGTCTTTTAACAAATTTTGACCTTGTGCAAGTAACATCGACATGGAAAATCGGTCAGCTTCAGAGCTGAGGGTCGCTAAAGAATGCATCATAAGCCAAGGTCATCGGCACGACCAAGAGACAACCCCGGGTGTTTTTAAACGAAGGCAGACTCGTTATGGCTATGTTATCGATATTGAAGTGTGCGTTGAGTGGTGGAAGATGAACATTTCCTCAAGACTATACGCGCAGTTCTTCGGAGGGGCTCACTCCTTCTCCACAACCACAATTAGTAGAGCTATAGTACCGTGCGAGGGAATGCTACGTCAGCCCTATCTATCTATATTGGAAAGAGCTAGAACTTACTGCGCAAACGTGTTCATCCAGTAGCTACAAGTAGAAGTAATACCAATCTGAGTTCAGGTCAAAGCTTGCATGAACGAAACTGCGAGAACACCAGGCGTTGATAGAGGTAACCTGACCGAAATGAAAATGCCCCGTCAATCAGCTTCGTGGTAAAATCTTATGGTGGCTTCCGGTGCTGCTGATGGCATCAAAAAATCTACGCCACGGTCTTGTTGACATCTGTCTAGAATAGGCTCTGCAAAACTGCCAAACATCTGGTTTCATGGCTTGTGTTGCTGATGGAAGACTCCGGGATATCGAGTAGAATCAACTGTTTCGATGTAGCCGGCAGAACGATAGATGGAGCTCGTTATGCAGGGTCGATGCGATCATCCGTTAGAAACGCGGGGTCACAAGATCCCAAATGCGACAACACCAAGATCAGGAAATAGGTTAAAAACCCCCGGTTTTCGAGCGTTATTCACGTTGTCTTGGTAGATGCTCTAGGTGTAGCTTAATCGTTCGACCACACAATTTACGGCGTTTTTCGTTTGTTGAAGAGTTTCACCTCGTATTGGATGACAACGTTTTGGTACCCGGGACTGCACCTTACCTTCGTGCAAATGGTAAGTACGTTTCCAAGATTTTAGTTCATCTGTTTCTAATACAACCTCAGGATAGGTCAGGCGTGTGTTTGGTCATTATTGTGATGACGATGAGGTGGTCGGGAAGAGAGAAGGCATAGTCTCATCTACTACTTTTCAAAAGGAGGTTCGATGGAACTGGGACGGACCGTGGAAGACCATATCGTTATTTCCAGAACTTGGGGTTGCCTCGGATGCCAGGATATCTTTGGTCCGCGGACCCTTGTTTTCATCTGGGCAAAGGTTTATGCACGCCAAGGTGTGGGATGAACGAAGTCTGCTTTCTAATTTGCTACTCGCGTGTTGGTACGAAGGGTTTGCATGTCGATGGCTATAGGTATACCGCAGATCGATATGGAGGAATTCTCGGACCATACAAGAAGCTCTAAACTCTACGGATCCTAGTAAGATGGTGTCACAGATCGGAGATGTCGTGTTCGCAAACGTTCCGAACACTTCATGGCACCCATGAAAAAAAAACTAGCCATCGAGCCAAGCATCTCCGGACGATAGATCCTAGTAATCGTCTAGAATATTTCGCAGTGGAGCAAGGCGGAGCCGCAAAACTACGACTGAAAAAGGACTGCTATATCTCGTGACCTTTGTGTAATCTTGGCGCTGCATGTCAGGCCACCCAAGGCAAATAAGAGAAGTAAGACTCCGACTCCGAGCCATCTCCAATGGACATAGAGACAAAGAACGCCTTGACAATTTCGGGAACAAGCTTCGCCGTTGGGATGCGCAGTGACGCGATGTCAGCTGGCGCCATGGGAAACCGGGATAAGATGCAAACTAACTCTTGGCACGGCGATTCAAGAGCTTTGTTGGTAAGCCTTGCAGTTTGGTGTTCTTGGAAAACCAGCACAGATGACGATGGTGGCCAAGGTGTTGTGGCTTCGGTGCGGAAGTCGGCACCATTACAGCTGCGCCGAGAGAGTTAGACCGGCTAGGCGGATCCTAGGCGAGCGGGATGCTTGGCTGAACTATACCAGCCTCGCCACTTGTTGTCCCTTCCCCCCGCCTGCAAACGGTCCTCACCATCCCCGCTGTCGTCATCTCTGTACTACAGCACACAAGAACACCTGATTCGTCTCGAAACAGACGCTTCTAATGCGCATGTAGGCGAGATTGACGGCAATAGGATGCAATAAAGCGCCAATCGTTGTGGTAGGCGTCTGACAACCACACGTTTGCGTACATGCATCTCTTTGTTGGACACTGCCGATTGTGACCGAAAGTGACGTCCCTGCACCGGTCCCAAGATGTTTCCCACTCTGCCAAGATCTCGATATCGCACGGTTCTTGGCTTTCGACATGTATGGGTGCCGCCTGTACGCTTACCTTGGGAGGTTGGATGCTTAAAGGTTGCAAAGTCCCCGGATCTCGATTGCTTGACTCCATCAACCTTCTCCTTCATATCCCAAATCACTCACTATGGGAGAGAAGCAACCGTCCCTTGAGGGCCACAAGTCTGGCCAGTCCAACGAGCCACTCTCCAAGCCCGCGCATGCCCTTCCCTGGAAGCAGGTTGTCGATGAGATCAAGTGCAATGCTGAAGACGGGTTGACTACCGCTGATGCAAAGGCAAGACACGAGAAGCATGGAAACAACGATCTCGGTGAAGATGGCGGAGTACAGCCGGGTAAAATTCTGCTGAGGCAAGTTGCCAACGCGATGACATTGGTAAGTCAGCACTAGTTGTCATTCAGTGTAATAAAATCTAACATGTGCTCAGATCTTGATCGCCGCGATGGCTGTGTCGTTTGCTATCAAGTCATGGATCGAGGGTGGTGTAGTAACCGCCATCATCTTGCTGAACGTCGTCATCGGATTTGTCCAAGAGTTCAATGCTGAAAAGACCATGGACTCCCTTCGATCGCTTTCCTCGCCCACAGCTACCGCTGCGCGAGATGGAAGGACAGTCACTATTCCCACCATTGAGGTTGTACCAGGCGATTTGATCGAGCTGAAGACGGGTGACACCGTCCCAGCGGATATTCGGTACGCTTAACCCCACTAAACTTCATACCCATGTCACTGACTCGGGAACAGCATCATCGAAGCCCTCAACTTTGAAACCGATGAAGCTCTTCTTACTGGCGAATCGCTTCCAGTAAGCAAGGATGGCGACGCGGTTTTCGACGAGGACACCGGCCCTGGTGACCGCCTCAACGTTGCCTACAGCTCTTCGACTGTTACCAAAGGACGTGCCCGTGGTGTCGTCTTTGCGACTGGCATGTACACTGAAATCGGTTCAATCGCCATGTCCCTTCGACAAAAGGGCTCGCGTGTCCGTGAAGTCAAACGCAAGCCGAATGGAAAGGCCAAGCCGCACCGATATGCTCAGGCATGGTCTTTGACTGCAGCCGACGCGGTTGGTCATTTTCTTGGTGTCAACGTAGGAACGCCGCTGCAGAAGAAGCTTGCTCGTCTCGCCATTCTCTTGTTTGGCGTTGCCGTCGTCTGCGCAATCATTGTTCTTGCTGCCAATAGCTTCTCGAACAACAGCGAGGTCATCATCTACGCTGTCGCGACTGGTCTCAGTATGATTCCCGCATCTCTCACAGTTGTCTTGACCATCACGATGGCCGCTGGCACAAAGCGCATGGTTCAACGCCACGTTATCGTTCGCAACCTCAAATCGCTCGAGGCCTTGGGCGGTGTCACAGATATCTGTTCCGATAAAACGGGTACCCTCACTCAGGGAAAGATGGTGGCAAAGAAGGCTTGGATCCCTGCGAAGGGCACCTACTCTGTTGGCCAGTCTGACCAGCCACACAACCCCACCGTTGGCGCTTTGTCTTTCAACCCCAAGCAGCCCAGACACATCGACCCTGACATGGATGAGAAGACCGAGACCTATGAGGAGCTACTGAAAGACAACCCGCATCTCGTCGACTACCTCAAAGTTGCCTCTCTCGCTAACCTGGCCAATGTTCACCAGACCGATGAAGGACAGTGGAATGCGCGAGGTGATCCCACAGAAATCGCTATCCAGGTTCTTGCGTCTCGTTTCCAGTGGAACCGTCTCCAACACGCTAGCGGTGACTCACCACAGTGGAAGCAGCTGGCTGAGTTCCCATTCGATTCGGATGTCAAGAAGATGTCTGTCATCTTCGAAGAAATGGCGACCTCCAAGAAGTACGTCTTCACCAAGGGTGCTGTCGAGCGCGTCATCTACTCTTGTTCGCACGTCTTCACTGACGAGAGTGACTCCATCGTCGAGCTGGAGGACGACTACCGTGAGGAGATCTTGGCCAACATGGAGTCGCTAGCTGCCATGGGTCTGCGTGTTCTAGCCCTTGCTAGCAAGGAGTACGACGGCCCATCGCCAAAGAAGGGAGAGGACATCAACCGTGAGGGCATAGAGCAAGGCTTAATCTTCCGCGGCCTTGTTGGTCTTTACGACCCACCCCGACCTGAAACCGCCGGTTCCGTTCGTCAGTGCCAGAAGGCTGGTATCGAAGTACACATGCTTACTGGTGATCACCCGGGTACTGCTAAAGCTATCGCTATCGAGGTTGGCATCGTGCCTTCCAACATGAGCACTTTACCTAAGGAAACCACCGACGCCATGGTCATGACCGCTTCTCAATTCGACAAACTGAGCGACGATGAAATTGACGCACTCCCACTTCTGCCACTTGTCATCGCTCGTTGCGCACCGAACACCAAGGTCCGTATGATTGACGCCCTACACCGACGAAAGGCTTTCACTGGTATGACTGGTGATGGTGTCAACGACTCTCCTTCCCTCAAGCGCTCAGACGTGGGTATCGGTATGGGTACAGGATCCGATGTAGCCAAGGACGCCTCTGACATTGTTTTGACTGACGACAACTTCGCTTCTATCCTCAACGCCATCGAGGAGGGTCGCCGCATGTTTGACAATATCCAAAAGTTCATCCTGCATCTGCTTGCTCAAAACATTGCGCAGGCATGCGTTTTGCTTGTCGGCCTCGCATTCAAGGATCAGAGTGGCCTGTCAGTTTTCCCAGTGTCTCCTGTCGAAGTCATGTGGATCATTATGATTACTTCCTCCCTGCCCGACATGGGTCTCGGTTTCGAGATTGCTGCTCCAGACATTCTCAACCGCCCTCCCCAAAATGTAAGTTTCTTCTGTCGAGTCCGATCTAAGAGTATATACTAACACATTGTAGCTCAAGCGTGGTGTATTCACCCTCGAGGTCGTTCTTGACATGTTCGTTTATGGACTCTGGATCGCTGCTCTCTGCCTTGGCTCATTCGCTCTCGTCATGTTCGGCTTCGGCGATGGCAACCTCGGAAACAACTGCAATGAGTCGTACAACAACACATGCGACACAGTTTTCCGCGCTCGTGCGACTACCTTTGCTTGTCTTACCTGGTTCTCAGTCTTCCTGGCATGGCAGATGTTGGACATGCGCCGATCGTTCTTCAGGATGCAGCCAGGATCAACAAAGTACTTCACGCAATGGGCTATCGATGTCTGGCGCAATAAATTCCTCTTCTTCTCCATCATCTTCGCCTTCGTCACCATCTTCCCAGTCCTGTACATTCCTGTCATCAACGACACGGTCTTCCGACACAAAGGGATCACCTGGGAATGGGCTATTGTCTTCATCGCTACTTTCCTTTTCTTCCTCGGCATTGAGTCGTGGAAGTGGGCCAAGCGAGTGTACTTCAGGAAGCAAGAGGCAAAGAACGGTGGTGGACGAAGGGGCTCCATCGATCTTGAGTCGCGTGTCTTTGAGCGCTACCTCAGCACGGCTATTAGCACTGACGGCGAGGAAGCGGAGAAGAAGTCGGCTCACTAGTTGCCGAGATGTATTTGAGTCTGTCGGCGGAAGCCGAGAAGAAGTCGGCTATCAGTCGCTGAGAATTTACTTGAGTATGTTGGTCACGTTGTGGTGGTCCTGCAGAGGCGTTTTTCTTTTACTTGCATAGCCTGCGATTATGATACCTCATGCCTTGATGGCTATGATCTGAAGGCTTTTCATAGTTATACAACGTCTATATATTAATGAAGATACCATGAACTATCATCAGAACTTGGTATGAAAGTGACTATTACTAATACTCGGTCTATTCCAGCCCGAACTGAACTCGAAACGAACCTGTCGGCTATCCTTTTCTCCCAAGGGAACGGTGTTGAGGTAGAATTTTGGTTGTAGTTGATACAATGCCAATGCATTATGAAAGTGAAAAAGTCATGTTAGGATCCCAGCGACGAGCAAAACCATCAACATTGCAACTTAGAATCCAACATCGCGATACCTGCCGTTTAAAATAATCTACCCTTGTATACTCTGCGCTTCGGAACTATACGGTAGCACGCCATCGATAAGTTAGTCGAGCACCCCGCCTTTCAGCCAAGCGACCCACTTGGACTCCGCCCAGCCATTGCCAAACCTTTCCGCTCCACCATCTACCAAGCCCGAATGCCGCGCGATTGCGCAGCCACTGGAGCGCCCAGAGAAATCTAGACACTTAGTGGCGCTCTAACTGGGCATGTCAGACGTCAGCCCAGGGCTGGTGTTTGCTTGGGCGTTTGGATGTTGTGGCCAGGATGTGGCCTGATAGTCAGAATGTCGCTGCTGCTGACTGCTGATGGGGTGGCAGGGCATCGGCGAAAACCCGCCATCTTATCAACACACGGACGATACACGTCAAGTAAAACAAGCAGGTTTCAATCACGCCCGTCACATAGATTACGACAGTATCAACCAGGCGAAAATATGCATGTGACTTCCATGACGATGATGTCCAATTGAGCCAAGGCTTCATCGACACGTGATTCATGACGACGAGGAGTCGCGGGTTAGGATAGCAGATAGACTAAGCCGGAAACTGCTCAGGCAGTTAAGCCAGCACCTGTCAGCTTTCCTGATCTGACGACTGGGCGTAAACTACAAGGTTGCGCATCGCTCAGAATGCCATGCTTACATACGTGGCAAACATACGCGGTGGTGGAGGCTGTGAAGTAGAAGATTGATGGCAGGTGTAGGTGTCATACAAAGTTTAGTTGGTGCGCTCGGCTGTTTCGACATCCGGGGATTGAGGGACCTGTCAGCTGTACAAAGCATATTAAAGAGGAACACGAACAGAAAACCAGTAATCGCAACACTTGCCCTATAAACACCTACATCTTCCTCCCACCTTTGCGCAAACTACCTAAACATTCCTACCAAAATCGTTCCACGGCTCATCCGGGTAATACCATACCAAACCCAATCGACCCGCGCCTCGCTGTATCGGAGCCTTGCATATTCCGAGAAACGCGCAATCAAGTCGCCGGCATATCCGGAAACATCCGTCATCGCATTTTCCCCGCATTCGGTTTCCCTTCCAAGCCGTCGTGTGTTCCACCTGCATCTTCCCCCCAGTCTCCACACCTCCAGCCAGACAAACTGCGCCGTCTGCCTTTCCGCCTGCACAATCAAAAAATAAATAACATAACCCCTCCAAACCATTATCGATATCGCACATTTTGCTATGCCGGCGATAATATCAGAGCACGGCACCACCGCGGTGCTTCTGGGGGCCCGCGAATGGCGCGATACCGTCGGCGGGTCTGGTATGACACCTACGGCGTTTAGTTTCTTGATTCCGGTGTTTGTGGTTGCTATTGCCGCGCCTTTGTAAGTTGATGTCTTTGTGATACCATGTGTGTGGGCTGATCAAAAAACAGTCTATGTGTGTTTTGTATAAGAAGGAGAAGGCAGGCTACACCGATTCCGGCGCGACCGCCACCTAAGATCAAGAAGCCGGCGTTACGACGGGCGGAGGCGAGGGAGAAGTTGCTCGAGGTCACTGAGGTGTCGTCGCGGAGTAGCAATGATGTGGGAGAAGAAGGAGGGAAGGTGAATGTGGAGACGAAATCGGTGTTGGAAAGGGAATGGTATGTTTTATGGATCTGGGTCAATGGTGTCCCTGCGCATACTGATACGGGATGATAGTGCCATATGTCTGTCAACACTCCACGCCCCTGCACCACCAGAACCAGCAAAACTCTCCCCAGACACACCTATCACCGACGCTGCCGCACTCCCAGCTTCAATACCCGCTTCCGACGATGCCGCGACTGCCACCGCCACCCCCGACGCAGAAATCATCCTTAAGCTCTCCATCTGCGGCCACGAGTTCCACGCCGACTGCCTCGTCTCCTGGTTCGTATTGCGCAAAACAAGCTGTCCGATATGTCGCTCAGTCTACATGAGCAAAGAGGAACTGGACCAGCACGACGAAGAGGAACAATTAGCGTTAAATGCCGGTCTTCCGCCTGCCATGTTGGAAGAGGGACGGGCTGGTCAACCGCAGGGCCCATCAACGCGTAATTGGCATTACTTTTTGCGCGGGAGGAATGCGGCGAGGAGGGAGGCGGTGCAGGCGCCGGAGCAACCTGCTGTTGAGATGCAGAGTCAGACACCGAGAACAGCAGAAGGAGAGCATGTCCCTGTGGAGGCCGCGAATGGTACTGCTGTTGCACAGGCTGAGACGCCGGCCAGATCTCGGTTACAGAGGCTTTTGAGGAGGGGGTGAAAAGGGGGTGCATTTATGGGGTTGATGTTATGACTGTATATGATGTTGAGAGATGAGGGTATGGTCTACGGGTTTACGACTGAGAGGGGTGTGTTTTCTTGTGCATACATATGGGGTTTTACGACGGAGATTCTGCTTCTTTTCATCTTGATAGAGATACCCGTAGACTAGAGCCATGTTCAATTAAACAATGGACGACTCTAGCCAATAACACGGACAGATGGATACATTCATGACAAGTATGAATATACCACCTCTGTTCTCTCTTCGCCTTCAGGGATCTTGAAGGAAAACATCTAGAATATCCTTTTTCCCAAAGCTTAAGTGATTATTAGGAACGCCAAGAGTTTCACCAATGTCTACCACCACTTCATTCAATACATAACGGCCGTTGAGAAGAACACCAACGATCTCTTTGGCTTGTTCGTTTATAATCTTAACAGCTGCAGTGGCCCAATGATCGAAGACTCGCTGTCCATTCTTCATGACATATGTGGCCGTAGTGTCGAATATAATCTTCAGTCCGTATCTGTAAATGGCGGCTGGTGATCGGACGTTGTAGGGGACGCGGATTCTTCTGTACCGTGCCTACACGCGTGCCTCGAGGCTGTACAGGAAATGATAGTCAGAAGGATGATTGTGGTGGGTCAGGACAAAGGATACACATACCCGCGTTCATCTGAACGTGGCACATTTCCTGGTGTAGAGTCTGGAGCTTCGTCCAGCTCATACGCTTTCTCGGCAAGGTCCTCAGATACACACTTCACTGGGTGAGAGTCTAAAACTTCTTCCAGCAGAGATGTCAACAAGCAAGTCAAGCTGGCTTGATTCTTATCGATTGCAGATCACAGACAATATAGAGGCTCGTGCACAGTGGCACGTCCCAGAGAATGGTCTGTGATCTGCAATCGATAAGAATCAAGCCAGCTTGACTTGCTTGTTGACATCTCTGTCTTCCAGCTTCAATGCTTTCTCGGGAGGGCCCTTGTATCCATGTTTCTGAAGGCTACAAATGATTAGAATAGTCCTATACTAGTGGCTAAGAAAGAAGATTCACCCACGGGTTTGCCATTGCGGTTTCTCGAAAACTTGGTGTCACCCCATATGCACATCTAGCAGACACGACTCAGGTACATCGCAACTCACTAGTCGCCCGACTATTTCTAATCATGATACTGTTCTGTGCGGCATAGTCGCTGCTTCTGAGTAAAGTCATGGCTGCGGACCGTGTGGGTTTTTCCGTCAGCCTCTCGGGCCGCACTAGTCAGTGGCCAACACCACCATTGTACCGTGCTTCCTCGACACTAGTTAGAGACACCCGTAGACGCATTATGATGCTGTTATTGTGGAGTAAAATGTATAGAAACAGGCATATTTCATTTTTCCATAGCGATCATGCAACAGAGATGCAGTGCATATCCATGGCTGACTGGAAATCATTGCATAAGCACGCGACACTTCTGCGGGCCTGCGTCACCATTATGTTTAATTGCACAGTTATCCTACCATCTTTTTTCACGAAGCATAGTTCGCTCATCAATCCATTGTCTCGCCAGGTATGCCAGTCCCTCAAGTGTCATTGACAACCGTATCTTGGACCGTGTTACCAGTGTACTTCTTGAGCTCAGTCGTCTCTAGGCTTAGGATGGAATACAGTTCCTTTAAGATCATTAGCTCTTAAACAAAACACAGTAATTTATCAAAGAATTCAAGACATACCACGATATGGCGGCCCAAAGACTCGCTCCATCTCAACGCAGAGATCTAGAGTGCGCAAATTATGGTCATCCCACTCTTTTAGCTATCCCGGACTCCCGAGATGCACATCAAACGTAACCTGTGCTTTCGAGAGGATGCCGAAAGCAGGATGGGGATAGGTCTTGAACACAAAGGCCTCGTAACCATCGCCGAACCACTGAGAGGTAAAGAAGTCGACCCTGTTGAGAGCGGGTAGGTGTTCCCGGTAGTAAGGTAGCGTATCCAGCCAGTCCAGAAGCGCGACCTCTGGTGTATATACTTCCAGGGTTTCGAGGGCAGAAGGGAGGAGCTCATCCATTCGAATCTGAACATGCAACCATTGTGGATCCACCTTGTAGAAAAGAGCTTGATAAGGGATAGCGAGGCGTTTAAGGCCCTTGAAGGATGTAGAGCCGTCGCTGGAGAGAGGGTAGTCGAGGTAATCAGAGCCTACATCTCCCCTATCAGGAACGCTGATGACGAGAGTGGTGAGTGTAGGCGATAGGGCCTTGACTTCATCTATCAAGATGTTCTAGCTGGTACCGTTTACCCCGTGGACAATTTATTGCTGTTCAAGTTCCAACCTCTCGTTGACGCTGTCGCTTACCCACATCAACAGGGTACGCAGGCGGGGAGTGTGCCAAGGACGGAACAAAATAGTCATACACATTGTTCTCCGGTATGCAGATGTCAGAGCGTAAGGGAGGAGTCATCTGCGTAATAATAGGATTCACCTCCGCTGTGTCGTCCGGCAATATGGAACTGGCCACCTTGAACTCGATACTGTCGAGTGCCGGTGACTTGGCAAGTATCCAATGGAAGTTGCCGCTGCTTTTAAACTCGAGATGGCGGAGCTTCTGCAGTACAGCAAAATGTGGATGTATAGTCATGTTGTTGAACCTTGTATAAGCAGATCGAGACCAGATCTGTCATCTTCTGCAGTTTCATATAACAATGCTGACTTTAGGAGTACCGCCTCCGGCTGAGCTTCTGTGCTCCAACAAAATGTAGATGCATAGTCATGTTGTCGAACTTTGCAATTGAGGAGATCGAGACCAGATCTTCCGTCTTCTGCAGTTTCAGACAACAATGCTGACTTTAGAAGTGCCTCCTCCGGCTGAGAAGGAAGTGCCATATCTCGCCGTAGAGGGGTAGTTGCTCAACCGGAACGGGTTGCAGTTCGACAGAGTGGTAGAGATGGCGCGTAAAGTCACATAATTTAGTGCTGATGCGGGCGAGAGCGGGGAGGGAGCTGCGCGCGCATTGTTTGATGATGAGTTCGAGGAGCACAGTAGGGAAGAGACTAGGACGACTGTGTTTGAAGGTGCTTGTGTTCCAGGTAGGGTCGATGATGTCAAGTTTGGGGATCCATTGCTGCGCCTGTGGCTAAGCCATGATCGGGAAAGAGCGTCAAGGACACAGTCAAGTGGATGTCAGTCTGGGGAAGGAGCGTCGAGGACGCGGTCAAGTGGATGTCAGTCGGGGAAATTTGATGCAGCAATATACCTGTGGGCAGAAGATTGTGATCCGAACCACACTATACCACTCGGAGTCTAGCATGGGGAGTGGTGAGGGAAATGTTTTGTTTTTTCGCTAAGAGGTTGTGCAAATCACTGTGTATCCGTCACATGACTGACTGTTAAGTGGCCCGTGTTGGGCTGCACATGTTGAAGTGCAGTATTATATATCTACATATCTCAAGATCATCCTGTTATCTACTGCAAGCTAGGAAATATAAGGCTCAAGATCGGCGTATAGTCCCATTATAGGACTACGATCACAGACGCCTCCAATGGACTTGAGTTGCACTTGTGGCATTAGTAACCCCTAGGTAGCAAAATTCACACCGGCTTCCAAGCCTGAGGGAACTCATGCTTCCCAGTCGCAGTTGAAACGGCAACTTCTCTCTGGATGACAATGTGGCCACTTTCCAAGTCTTTCCCACTTGTGTCGATTCTCTGGACCGATTCCCTCCGATTGTAAACGGGTACGTCTGGCGTCGGAGGGATAATCTTCTCCTGGCTTTCATTGCCCTTGTTTGTGTGGAGAGCGCTGATGTTGTATGGATCCTTCACAGCACGGAAGCCTAAACGCGATTGCTTGGAGGCTGAACCATCGCTGAGCTCGTGCGAGTCGTCCGAGTTTTTGTTTGATGGGTATGAGTTGGAGCCTTCATAGGCGCCGGTCCAGAATCGATGAGTGAAGAGAGGTCGAATGATGGTGGCTTGGCCGACCAGGACTGCGACAATGTCTTCTCGACAGGACCAAATGGCGGCTGTTGCGGCTTGTTGAAGCTAGGTCTGTATCAGTAACGCGTTGTGGTAGTAGATGATCTCGGTACTTACAGCCATGACGAAATAGACCCGCAAAATCGCAGCTATCATAATGAAGATGCCCGCACAGAACATAGCCAATAGTCCAAGCTTGCGAGCCCATGAGATCTTCAAAGGAAGAATAATCGGAATAGGGATGAGTATAATGAAAACATCCGTCAAGAGATTGAAGACAAGGACGACGACTAGGAAAGCCGGGCTCTGAGGCATACAGTATTCTACAGATGATCAGCCAAAAAGTCGATGAGAAGGGGGTGATGAGTACTTACGTCCTGGATCTGGAAGAATTTGCCAGAGCCTGTTGAATGGACGACAAGCCAGCGCAAACATCAACCAAATCGAAATACCGGTAACACCCACCAAAAGCATGGTTGGGAGTAAAAACGCGCTGACCCATACCACGCTGACGACTCGGCGATACAGAAAGAGCATGTTCAGCTTCAGCGACCAGATGAGTCCTATATAGGTGAACCATCCGACCATGAACCATTTGCTCGAGCGTTGGTGTAAAGCTGCTTGTTCTGGGGTCAAGGAAAGTCGATACTCCATGGTCATATGCGAGGTGTCGCTCACGCCGCCGACCTCATGTGCTGCTACAGTCATTCCGGTATAACAAGCCTAAACATGTGAGTCAGATGTCCTTGTTCCTAGAAGTGCATATGTAGGCTCGACTTACCCAAGAGAAAAATATGATGTAGTCGTCAGCTTGCCATCCAGCAATGCCAACCATGCGCGTCCGTGTGAAGATTCTCAGAATAATGGCAATACTGCCTATGCCGTATAGCGTCCATGCCTCAACGAGCGCAGCTACCAGCGGGCTCAGTGCCATAATTAATAGACTGTATAGGGCTCCGGCACAACAAAGTGAAGAAGAAGAAAAAGTCGAGTAACTTTCCAATAAATACCGAAGACTGCAGATTGATTTGTCGATTTATCAACGAAGACATTGGCGCTTATATGTTCTACAAGTCACAGCACCTCGTTGGACTGCCATGTACCTAGGTACACATGCCCGATAACTTCACCAAGAAGCCCAGCCGATCCGCAGGCCCATGGCTATGCTCCTTCGATCCGACTCAAGAGCAAGAATACGCGGATCCGGGCTTTCTCAGCTACGCCGTCGACCCGAAATACCAAATACTTGTTCTACAAACTGCTCCCGTACAGCGATGATCCCATTTCACTATAACGTTAACGTCTTGCCGAGAACGCTCCCCGTAGAAGCCGCTGTCAGCACTGGGAACGGTTTAACCATTTGAATCTTTATATGCCGTTAGATATGGCTGACAATGGCACGGGTCGCTTGCCTAAAAGGTAGGGCGGTGTCTTGCTTACGTTATCGGGCCTGCTTTGTGAATACTGATGCAACCTGAAATATCTCAGCATCATCGAGTATACCAGGTGAGCGCATAGTGTGTAAGCTATTAGTCTCGATTGAATTCCGCTGTTCATAATCGAGACGGCTTTCGATTAGGCCATACACCGTATGATCCAAAAGGTTGAAAATGCGATGAGATAGGAGCGTCTGCCATCGCTGTGGTCTTTCCCAAAGACTTCCCGCATCCTGCCAGCAGTCACAGTCAGCGGAGAATAGATCCCAGATGCTGCACTAGGGCTTACGCATATGCCATGCTTCCAGCAACAACACCGTGCATTGAAGCCAGAAAAACAAAGAAATAGGTAGGCCCGATCCTTCCCGCAGTCGCATGAGTCGTAGTGACAAGACCATATCAAGGTATCCATGACTTGTCATTACCCAATCGAGAACAACAATGCTTATCTGAAACATTTTGTTGCGCGCGATACCTGAGACACTTGCGCGGCTGCGGGGAGAGTTAGGCATCATCGCGATAGAGTTAGGGGCGCGGAGCAGGATGGCCAGGACCAAGTTGAGTCACGATCCGACCAAATTGCACCTCGGGCAACTATCGTGCTTCGCGCTACTGAGATTGATGCAAGTGTGGAAGCCCTCGCTCCGCTAGACCCTGTGCCGGTAGATGTGGAGGCGGGGCCTACCATGCTAGTTCTACCCCAGGACTGCTTGCGGGTTTTAATATCGATTTCCAAGGATAACCGCCAAAGATTAGCAGATACCCAGGAAACTACAGTAGTCGCTAGATTAGTGTCGATTCGCGATCATATTTTGCCGAGATAATTTACGAGATCCAAGTTGGTATTGTTTTTCTCCTTGTATAACTACTATCCGTCCAGCTGCGCAGCAACTCTCCCATCCAACACCTATTTGTCTTCTATTCTCCCTTTATAACGAAGAAACGTTATCTCGTATTTTTGCCCTTACGTGGTCACTTATCAAGGAGGCGACGGCTGCATAAAACATCAGCTCCACATCAATAAGGCCTGACCATTGTGTCGGAAACAAAAGTCCACCAGCATGGGTTCGATTGATGAATTTGAGCACCTTTCCCCGGGTGAAACCTTCAACGGGACCAATACCACCGAAACCAAAGAGCTCGATGCTCTGATAGTTGGCGCCGGTTTCGGTGGCGTTTGGCAGCTCAAGCAACTCCGTGACGCAGGCTACCGCGTCAAACTAGTCGAGCATGGTTCCGACTACGGAGGCGTATGGTATTGGAACCGGTACCCAGGTGCCCGCGTGGACAGCCCTATCCCCAACTACGAGTTCTCTGACCCCGCACTGTGGAAGGATTGGACATGGAAGCAGCGCTTTCCTGGCAGCGCCGAGATCCGAGCCTATTTTGCGCATGTAGCCAAGGTGTGGGATTTGAGAAAGGATACCCAGTTTAACACTTTTGTTTCTTCAGCCGTCTGGAGTAATGTTGAGGCGAAATGGACTGTGAGGACGAAAGGGGGAGAGGCGTACCGCGTCAAGTTTTTCTTACTCAACACGGGGTTCGCTGCGAAGAGACACATTCCAGACTGGAGAGGCATCGGCTCGTTCAAAGGTAAGAAGGACTAGCTTCTACTAAGATATGGACTAACAGGTCGTTAGGGACGTTCCTCCATCCCTCATACTGGCCCCATGAAGAGCCTGATCTGCATGGCAAGAGGGTGGCCATTGTTGGTACCGGTTCCACCGGTGTTCAGCTGGCACAGGACCTGAGCAAGGTCGCTGGTCAACTCACAGTCTTCCAGCGTACGCCGAACATGGCTATGCCGATGAGACAAGTGGATTACAAAGCTCCCAATCAAGCTATCCCCAAGCCCAAGTACCCCGACTTCTTCGCCGGACGCCACGAAAGCTTCGCTGGTTTCGACTACAACTTCTACCATAAATCCACATTTGAGGACACCCCAGCCCAACGGAAACAAAAGTACGAGAAACTCTGGAGCGAGGGCGACTTCAAGTTCTGGCTTGCCACTTACCACGACATGTTGTTCAGTAAGGATGCAAACCGCGAAGCATACAACTTCTGGCGGGACAAGTCTCGAGCGAAGATCCAAAATCCAAAGGTTGCCGACATACTCGCTCCCATGAAGCAACCGCACGCTTTTGGCTGCAAACGTATATCCCTAGAGAAGGACTACTTTGAGATTTTCAACCAACCCAACGTTGCGGTAGTCGACGTGAGTGACAAGGGAACGCCAATCCAGGGGATTACAGAGAACGGCATCAAGACAAATGACGCCGAGTACCAATTCGACTACATCATCAGCGCGACTGGCTACGACGCGGTTACCGGAGGTCTTAGCCAGATCGACATCAGAGGCCAGTCGGGCGAGAGCCTGAGTCAGCACTGGAAGGACGGGGCTAGAACGCACCTTGGCCTCGCAGTATCAGGGTTCCCCAACATGTTCTTCACGTACGGGCCACAAGCACCGACGGCATTCTGCAACGGCCCCACATGCGCGGAGCTGCAGGGCAATTGGATCCTTCAGACGATGAATCACATGCGAGTAAAGTCGATCAAGAAGATTGTCGCACAAATGGAGAGCGAAGATCAGTGGAAGAAGCTCGTGTGGGACATCGCCGATTCTTCGCTATTGACGTCTGTTGACTCTGTAAGTGATTTTGCTACGAAATCTCCGATGGGGAGTTTTACTAACATTTACTTCAGTGGTACATGGGCACCAACATCCCTGGCAAGCCAAGGGAGCCGTTGATCTATCTTGGTGGAGTACCGTCATATTACAAGACAATCTACGAGGCGGCCGAGAAGGGGTATATCGGATTTGACATGTCCTAGGATCATTCAAGTGTAGCCGAGTTGATGTTGATGTTGATTGTGGTTTAACGCCCTATCTGTAACCTCCCATAGGGTATTCGGGCGGGTCCCGCCGTGGTCTTATAGTGCTGTCGTACTTGCCTCGTGGAACCTATTCCTAGGTGTTTTGTATCTAAGGGGAGTGATGCCCTGCCTATATACATGTTCGTGAAAAGGACTCCCGCCATTTGAAGCCGTTTTCCTACAATATTCTAGTATTTCGTGGCTTGCGCCTTTGATCGATGCAGTACAATGACTACTTTTTAGAGAGAGAAACGAAAAAGTAACAAGAGGCAGTTTGAGATATAATGAAAAGTTTGAAAGAGAGCGTGTGGGTTGTGGCATCTATGCGGCGTTCTGCCGCGAATCCTACACTGAACAATGCCAAGGAATTCAGCGTGTTTTTGTGAAATTCAAAAATAGAAATCACTCGTCATAGAAGGAGTTCGTTACCTTCACGAAGGTCTCGAACTCTTGTGGCTGGTCTATTAATTGCGCGAGGTACGCTAGGCCTTCCTGTCTTGTGCGAGGGGGCACGATGGGGCGTAGAGGCCACTTCTTGAAGTGTGTTGTGGCTCTCTTGCAGAACACTAGGTGTTCTGGCGTCTTGGGCCTGCCGCATAGGCAATTCGAGGTATCCTCGTGGTTGAATTTTCGGTGGTACCATTCAAAGTCGCCATGCGTTGAGCGTATCATAAGGACTTTCGCGAGTATCCTTCGGGGTAGCCATAGCGCTGCGGGCGTGCGCCAAGTGTAGCCGAGTGTGGGGGTTTAGAGCATGGAATGGTTGACTGTTGGATATACCGGTAGTACTGCGCGTGGCGCGTCGATACGAGGACTTGTGGGGAAGTGCAATCAATCGTGAAGCATGAAACATATCATAACCGTCCGCTGCCATGATGTAAACTTGTGAAGTCGGCAGCAATGCTCCAAGTTTCTGCCTGAGTGAGCACACATATTGTACCGGTAGGCAAGACCAGCCGAGGTACCCGCTAAGCACTAGTAGTCAATGCTCAGGGCTATTCCCCGCACCCGGCTGTTAGGTATTACCGTGATGGTACCGAGTGTCGCAATGGTTTCCCATACAAACTCTAGCCTGCTCGTCCTCTGCCGCTTGATGGCGCGTCCAGATCTTTCGACAATTGAAAAGATAGATGGCAGGGTAAGGCTCGACATTCGGTGGTCGTGGTGAAAGATGGTCTCATCTGGATGGAGGCGGAATAGTGCGGATATGAGTATGATTAGGGTTGTGGATCGCGATAGTACATAGCTAGATTGGGCTGGACAAAGAAGCGGCAGGGGTTGGTCTGGGATCCAAAGTCCCAACTTGCCTATCTGCCGGCATGTCAGTCCCCCTGTGCTGGCCAGGTTCGGGGGACCACGGCCTGGCAGCCATTGGGAGCGTTGAAACTGCCTTTTATCTGCCGACACCAGCCCGGCCGAGACTTGGACAGTAACCTGGGTGGTTCTTCGTCTGGCCCGACTGCCGTGATATCCTAATTGAGAAAGACATAGCACGTGACCAATCTTGCTGGGCAATGCGCCATTCATATCTGCCGGGCTTCATAGTCAAAGTCATATCCAGCTAGAACCGAGGCTTGGTGATAAGATGATAGCAGCCTTGGTGCAATGTAGAATTGCTGCAGTTTCTAGGGAACGAGCCAGGTGGGTGTCTTAGAAGTGAGCGAAATATCAAATGCATAGTCCGGAACCCACAACTAGTGCCGGAGAACCTAGAAGAGGATAGCTTTGGGGTTTAAGGTATTGTGATGAAAAGGCCATTTTTTGCGAATGCTTTTGTTCTGGTTGATGAGGCGAGAGATATCGTAGACCCTGGCAAACACTAGCGCGGAAGGAGCGCGTCGACGCGCCTATGTGCTTACGCGCCTCAATTAACGACGGCAGGCGGACGTCCATCATCGACATCATCACCAAGCTTCATAATACTTTCACCCCTCGTTTCTGGCACCCTAGTTTGTCATTGCCACACACGAGAATGGCATCCCGGCCAGAAATCAAAGAAGAGGACGAGTCAGGCTTCTGCAAGTTCTTTCGCAACTTGGGCGAGAAGCATGACGAGACGGTGCGCATATTCGACCGTGGTGACTACTATAGTGCCCATGGTGAAGATGCAAAGTTTATCGCGAATACGGTAAGGAAGATGATTGTGTGTGCCATTGGCTCCCCGCAAGCAGCTGACATGCCTCTAGGTCTACAAAACAACAGCCGTCATACGCAAACTGGGCCGCGAACCAGGCCTCGAGTCCGTCACCATGACCATAACCGTCTTTCGCAACTTCCTCCGCGACGCCCTTTTCCGACTCGGCAAGCGAATTGAGATTTGGCAATCCACGGGCAAGCGCATGGATTGGAAGGTGGTGAAGCAAGCCTCACCAGGCAACCTGCAAGACCTGGAAGACGACTTAGGTGGTCAAATCGAGAACGCGCCCATTATACTGGCAGTCAAGGTTTCGGCAAAGGCGTCAGAGGCAAGGAATGTGGGTGTGTGCTTTGCAGATGCCAGCGTGCGAGAACTGGGCGTCACAGAGTTTCTGGACAACGATCTCTACTCCAACTTTGAGTCGCTGCTGATTCAACTGGGTGTCAAAGAGTGTCTTATTCAGCTTGATTCAAATAAAAAGGATGTAGAGCTCAGCAAGCTTCGCACCATTGCCGACAACTGCGGATGCGCTGTGGCGGAGCGAGCACAAGCTGATTTCGGCACAAAGGACATTGATCAGGATCTACCGCGCTTACTCAAGGACGAGCGAGCAGCTGGTTCTCTGCATTTGACGGATTTGAACTTGGCCATGGGTGCCGCTGCCTGTCTCATCCGCTATTTAGGTGTTATGTCCGACTCATCCAACTTTGGCCAGTATCAGCTCTACCAACACGACCTGTCGCAGTACATGAAGCTTGACGCAGCTGCGCTAAAGGCACTTAACCTCATGCCAGGGCCACGAGACGGCGCAAAGAACATGAGTCTATACGGCTTGCTAAACCATTGCAAGACACCAACTGGTAGCCGACTACTCGCACAATGGCTCAAGCAGCCATTGATGAACGTCAAGGAAATCGAACGACGTCAGCAACTTGTAGAAGCTTTTGTCAACGATACCGAGTTGAGGCAGACCATGCAGGAGGAGCATCTTCGGTCTATACCGGACCTGTACCGACTGGCGAAGAAATTCCAACGCAAAGCGGCAAATCTGGAGGATGTTGTGCGAGCATACCAAGTCGTTATTCGACTGCCTGGATTCCTCAGCTCACTCGAGGCTGTCATGGACGAGCAATACAAGGAGCCGCTTGACGCAGAATACACGGATAAGCTCCGCCAGTACACAACGGCATTTGCTGGTCTACAAGACATGGTGGAGACAACTGTTGATCTGGAGGCTCTTGACAACCATGAGTTCATCATCAAGCCGGAGTTTGACGAATCCTTGAAGATCATCCGAAAGCGGCTCGATAAGCTCAAGCGCGAGATGGAGTCAGAGCACATGCGCGTGGGAGATGATCTCAACCAGGACACGGAGAAGAAGCTCTTCCTGGAGAACCACAAGGTCAACGGCTGGTGCTTTCGATTGACGCGCAACGAAGCAGGCTGCATTCGCCAAAAGAAGCAGTACCACGAAATTTCCACCCAAAAGAATGGTGTATACTTTACGACAAACACTCTACAGGAGAAGCGACGAGAGTTTGATCAACTCTCGGAAAACTATAATCGCACACAATCTGGTCTCGTCAACGAAGTCGTCTCAGTCGCATCGTCGTATGTTCCAGTCGTGGAGAAGCTTGCTGCTGTCCTAGCACACCTCGATGTCATAGTCGCTTTTGCACACGTTTCCGTTCACGCACCCACCTCATACACTAGGCCAACCATGCACCCTCGCGGGACTGGTAACACTATTCTCAAAGAGGCACGACACCCATGCATGGAGATGCAAGATGATATTTCCTTCATCACCAACGACGTATCGCTCGTAAGGAACGAGAGCGAGTTCCTCATCATTACCGGACCCAACATGGGCGGAAAATCGACCTACATCCGGCAAATCGGCGTGATTGCACTAATGGCGCAAATCGGTTGTTTCGTACCATGTTCAGAAGCCGAACTAACAATCTTCGACTGCATCCTTGCACGTGTCGGCGCGAGCGACAGCCAGATCAAGGGCGTGTCAACTTTCATGGCCGAAATGCTAGAAACAGCAAACATTCTCAAGTCCGCCACAAAGGAATCCCTCATCATCATCGACGAATTGGGCCGCGGAACAAGCACATACGATGGTTTTGGTCTAGCCTGGGCAATCTCGGAATACATTGTCAAGGAGATTGGTGCTTTTGCTCTCTTCGCAACGCATTTCCATGAGCTCACTGCGCTCGTGGATACATACCCTCAAGTACAGAACTTGCACGTTGTAGCACACATATCCGAAGGCAGCGCCCCTGTAGTCAACGATGATGGCGATGTCGACATGGACGCGGTACAAAAGAAGCGCGAGGTAACGCTCCTCTACAAAGTCGAACCTGGTTTCTCAGACCAATCGTTCGGCATCCACGTCGCAGAGCTCGTTCGCTTTCCGCAAAAGGTCATCAACATGGCCAAGCGCAAGGCCGATGAACTGGAAGACTTTGCCGGAAAGCACGAGGAGGGCTTCGTGCAAGCAAGCAAGGAGGACGTCGAGGACGGTAGTCGCTTGTTGAAAGAGGTTCTCAAGACCTGGAAAGAAGAGGTGGAAAGCAAGGGTCTTACCAAGAAGCAGCAGGTGGAAAGGATGAGAGAGCTGGTCAAGGGTAACGAGAAACTCATGGTCAACAGCTTCTTCAAGGGTATTCAAGCCTTGTAACAGGTGCGGCGCAAAGATGGAGCAATGGGAATGTCTGGGCGTTCAAGGTGTACTAAAACAAAGATTTACCAAGCGGGAAAAGGTCGTCGTCAATCTTATCCAGCCTTCTGCCAACATATATCCATGATATCAAAACAATGTAAACCATAATTAAATGCCCGTCATATCCCGCTTTCTGACTAGCGTTTGAGCTCCGCAAACCGTCTAGCAAGCTCATCTACATCAGGTATCTTTCCCAACCCATCCTCCTTCTTTGCCGGCGGTTTCTTCGTAGCCTCAGTCTTTGCAATCTTCGCCGCTGCACTCCCCGGTAACTTCAACCGAGGCGCCACATTATCCGTACTGGGACTTGGCGGCACAACGCGCAGCGGACTTTGCGGACCGAGTTTCTTGGGCGTTGTAGCTTTTGCGAGAGCTTCCCTCTCTTCTTCTTTCTTGCTCTTGCCTGCATCATCTGTCATCAATGGGTCCTCGAGCTCTTGTTCCGCTATGCCGCCCGCCGGTTCATCGTCATCCTCCTCCCCATCATCATCATCATCGCTCTTTGCCGCCGACCCATACGCCACACCATAGAATTTCGCAATCTCCGCCATATACGCCTCGACCAGCTCCTCCTTGGGCGTCTCGACCCGCAGCTTCTTCACCACTCTCTCCGCGACGCCCTCACCCTCCATACTAGCCAGCGCCACCTCTTTCCCAAACTTCTCCACCAGCAGCGCTCGCACGGTGTGTAGCTCTTTGATCTCCGTGCGCGGCGCGGCGTATATTATGCTTCTTACTGCTTCCTCCAGCGCGGGATCCAGCATGCCCGATGTGGCCGACGTCGTCGTGTTCGAAGATGAAACCTGCGATTCGAGGAGCTGCGACCGTGCGAGGAGGAGTTCACAGTAGAGTTCTAGTATCTCGTGTAGTTCGGTGGTTATGTCTGTGCGGATGATGTTTTCGACTCGTATTCGTGCTGATTGTACTTTGCCGGCCTGGTGGGTTCTTGTTAGTCGTTGCCTTGCTTGCGCGCCTACCTGTCCGCGTGAAACATGTTTCGCAACAGCAGAAAGGAGCATGAAGACGTGTTTACGTACCTCGATTAGCTGCGCCATGTCTCTTCTTTGCTGCTTCACTTTTGCGCTGTCCTTTTGTTGTACCATGCGTAGTCGCGATATCGACAGCTTGAGCTGCACCTTGAGCTTGTTCTGCCCCGCGGTTAGTACATGGCGCGGTTTACCACAACGGAAGGCTGAAGAAGTTGCTTACTACTAATGAGACTGTGGGCGCCATGATTTGCGTTTTGTATGTACCTTGGTGTTGGTAGGTAGACGTGTCGTTGGGTAGCGTAATAGGTCGCGGTTGTTGTGTAGTGTTAGGCGCCGGTTAGTGGGGCAGACGTAGTTAAGTTAAGGTGGGGTGTTGAGTTCGTCGGCGCAACGAGCCACATTTTACTAGCGTCATTCCGGAGACCTAACTTCATGCCTATTGTCAGATTAGATGAGATATTGCACAAAAGTGATGGATGTTCATGATTGATTGTTCTTCGTTCTAAGGTGCGCGCTGAGAGTTTTGTTCTGCTAAGACGCTAACCCGTTATTAGCTAGCGGTGTCGGCACTTTCGGCTCGACACGCCTGCTATCTGACACACCCCCTCAGCTTGGAAGGCATATTGCAAGCTGCATAAACTGGTTGATCGATCCTACATAATGAGGCCTTCCAGTTGCTCTTGCACCTCCTTAAGCTCAATCTCTCTGAGCGGGGCTTCTTCGCGCTCGACGAGTCCCAGTTGATCAAGGAACCTGGCCCATTTATTGGCTGGCAGTGGCTTTGTGAACCCGTCTGCGATCATGTTGTCAGACGGCACATACTCTACCTTGATCACCTTTCGGGTAACCTCCTGTCGTAGCCAGTGATTGTGTATGTCAACGTGCCGAAGCTTTGTTTGCAATTTGGCAACGTCTTCATTTACTAGACGGATCGTCTGAGTATTGTCGCACTTGATTGTGATAATTGGATTGCTTAGCTTTACCTGAAGCTCTTTTAACAACCGCGACGTTAAGATTGCCTCCTTAGCAACTTGTGATAGGGCAAGCAGCTCTGCTTCTGTTGTTGATGTTGTCACAGTATCTTGCTTGCTTGCTCTCCAGGCGATGAGTCCTCCGAACAGCTTGATTGCGTATCCCTGCGAGCTTTTCCTGTCCAGTGTGTTGTCTGCAAACGACGCGTCACTTGCTACCTCGAGGCCATCGCCTCTACCGAGTTCGAGGGCTAGGGATTCTGTTTTCTTGAGATACAGGAGCACACGGTCTGCAGCGTCTTGGTGTTCTGTACTTGGATTGATTAGGAAGCGAGCAAGTCGTGATGTTGCAAAGGCTATGTCGGGTCTTGTTGTGACTGCAGCGAATAGAAGCGATCCAATCTTGCGTTGGTACTTGTTGACTTCAGCTGGTGCTGCGAGTCCTTCTCGTGGTCGGAGTTCGATGCCTGACATTGGCGTATCATGCCTTACATTTTGGTGGTTGATGAGTTGACTGATTTTGTCGACGTATGCAGCTTGAGATAGCTGTATGGTCTTCTGCTTGCGATTGCGCATAACCTCTACACCGAGAAACCACTGTAAGTTGTCTCCTCCCGTACAAGCGTATTTTTCTTGGATCCAGTTGATGGCCTTCATGGCCTCTGATTCTTGCTTTGAACGGTACGCAACGATGATGTCGTCCACATAGAAGAAGATGATAACTCCGTCTTTGATCATGCAGCATGGCTCCTGTGGTATTTGTTGAAACCCTATCGAAGCAAGAGTTGCGGTGAATTCTTTCTGCCACAGTAATGGTGAGATCCGGAGCCCGTAGAGTGCCTTTTGCACTTTGAGTAGAGTGCCAGGCTTCTGATATCCTTTTGGCATCCTCATGTATATTTCTCTGTCGATTGCAGCATGCACAAAAGCATTAGTGACGTCGTATTGTTTCAGCTCAAGATCGTATTTGGCGGCGATTGCCATAAGCATTCTGAATGAGCGTCCTGCCAATGTTGCTGCGTATGTGTCTTGGGAGGTGATGTTGCGTTGTTGGTCTCCCCTTACTACCAATCTTGCCTTGCATTTGATGAGGCGGTGATGCTTGTCGAGTTTGTAGGTGTATACCCACATACAGTCTAGGATCTGGTGCCCTGCTCGTTTGACTGGTGATGCTTGGACCTCAGTCCATGACTTCATTTGTTGGTGACTCTGAAGGTGTGTCTTTTCTGCTTCCTTGAACATTTCGTATAGTGGATGGTCTTCTAGCTTTGAGTATGCTGTTGGGAGTGGCGGTAGCTGGTTGCGATGGGGCTTGATTCCCTTGGATAGCAGTCTCTTCACCTGAGCCTTATCGATTGGCTTTCCTTCGTGTTGACCAATGTGTCCTGATTCGGTGCCGGCCATGAATGCGGCTGCCCATGGACTGGTCATTGATGTTGATTGGTTGGACATGTTCGTCATATCCTCGTTGTTCACCTCTCCTTGAACTAGCAAGGCCACAGGTGGAGGAGTTGGTGGCGGGGTTAGATATGCCTCTACCACCTTCCTTCCTTGGTGGTATCTGGTTTTCTGAGTGCGCGGGCTCTCTTCCTGCGTCGTATCGTCCTCGTAGAACGTCTCGGTTTCTGGTTGTTGGCTCTGAGTACCTGGGAGTTCGACTGTTCTCACCCAAGTTGCGATTTCCTCTAGGGTGTTGTGCATGAGATTGTCCATCAGGTCCTCAGTCTTGCCGTTGAAGATTGTGTCTTCGTCAAACACTACGTCGCGAGTGCTGATTACCTTTGCCATGGATGGGATCCATATGCGGTAAATGTTCGTTGACTGGTATCCCACTAGGTATCCAATCCAGGCCTTCGGATCTAGTCTCTGTAGCCTGGACTTTCCTCTGTGGGTGTCGTCTGTCATTGCGAAAGCCTTACACCCATATGCTTTTAGGTGAGCTTGATTTGGTTTTCGAGGTCCGGTGACTATGCCGTTGATGGCAGCTGCGCGTGTAAAGAATATTTCGTATGGTGTCTTCCAATTGTTTGGGTAATTTGGCGTTCGATTGTATAGGTATACCGCCGCTCTGGTAGTTTCTGGCCAGAGTTCCCATGGAAGGTTTGCATCCAGTCGAATTGCGCGTGCCTTTTCTTTTATAACACCCCCTGAGCGCTCAGCTCCTCCGTTTTGAGCTTGAGTATCTGGAGCGGAGGGCTCGAGTTTGATTGATAGGGACGTGCACCATTTTTCGACCTCTTGTTTGACGGTAACGATCTCGTTGTCAGTCTCGATGACTTTGACTGTGATGTTGAATTGTTTCTTCATGAACTGGACGAAGAGGCCTAGGAGGCGAATGATTGAGCGAGCCGGTCTGTTGTCCTTGAAGTAGAAGTCCCATGTGTATCGGGACCGTCGGCAAGTGATCAGCATTTGGCTCTTCTCCTTGGTGAAACTGCCGTCCTCATACTCATGGAAGTCGATGGCTACCCTTTCACCTGGCCCTTCGTCGTTCAGTCTAGGCGTCCTGCGTATTTGTCGTTTCGATTTTGACCTGCCGCAGGCGTCACACTCCACGGTGGTGATGCCCTTGATCCTCACCCCCTCAGATTGCTGCACGAGGTGCTCGATCGCGGATGGCCCGGGATGTCCGAGTCGTTTGTGCCATAGTATGGCAGTAGCCTTTTGTGGTGATCGTTTGGCTCGATTCATACGCACATGAAAGGCTGAAGTTGATGTAGTAGGTGGCTCGATAACCCATTGCCCATAGTGTTCCGATAAGGTGGCAATGGTTGAACCATCCCATCGTCGTAGGCTTGTCGGGTCTCCTCGATTGTCCCACCATATACCTTGTCTTCGGAGCAGCCTGAATGATACGAGGCTGCAGAGGAAGTCTGGGCACCAGGCAACATTGCTTAGGTGTAGAATTTGTTTGCCCTGAGCCCCCTCTGCCGTCACCTTGACTGCTCCGTATCCTTGTATCCAAACCCTTGAGTTGCCAGCCCAAATGTAATCTCCCATCGCAGGCGGGCGTACGTCTTCGAGCCTTGAGAGGTTGTTGCAGATGTGCGTCGTCGAGCCAGAATCCAGGATGAATGCATCCTTTAATGGGTATCCTTGATTACTCGCATTGAATGCCGCTTTCATCATGCCCTCGTCCAGCCTCGAGATCTCGCGTCCATCTAGTCAATCAGTGACTGAGTCCGGTGTTTGTGATGTCTTGATGTAGGGTGTAATCGATCGTGATGCCGTAGTTAGGCGTGGTCGCTTCGTTTCCAGGTTTGTTTCCTGTATTATTCTTTGTAAGTCTGCATCATGCTGAAGTTTGTACTGTACCAGCTTTGTGATGTGTTTGTTCGGTTTGAACCAATCTGGGGTCTCCAAAGTTGGGTTGACATAGTAGCAGCTACTGATGTCATGGCGTTGTTCACAAGCAGGACATATATCGCCAGCTTCTGCTGTATTCCTTTTCTGGAATTGCTTGGACTTGTTGCCAGGTGCATTCATTTTGCGTTTGTTTGTTTGCCTTTGGTTTCCCTGGCTAGGGTTGGTAGATGGCGCTCTAATTTGCACACTTGAGGCGTCCCCCTGTGTGTTCGAGTCGGATTCACCGCTCGCCGCGTAGGCTGCTTCACCCGTCATAAAGGCACTTCTTGATTTGCCTCGTGTTGGGTGAGCTAGGCTCATATGTTCGCGGAAGAGTTTCATCATCTGCCTTCTTTCTATATTGTTCCGGTCGCTTCCCGCTCCAGTGAATGTTGCCATCCATGCTGGGGCAATCTTAGAGACTGCTTTTAGGAAGTCGTCCACAACCAGCTTGCTTTGTATCACGTCCCCTATCTTTAGGGCTTCGGCGCGAGTTGCAGCTTGGTCGTATTCGCTGAGCCATGATTCCCAATTTTGCGGGCTTCTCATAGGTCTCAAGGAATCGTGGTACCTCTCTCGTACCCTTCTGATCTCATCGTCGAGGTCTACTCCAACTGCTACCTGGAGGTTTGTGATCCAGGTGCGGAGAGTTCCATGTTCCTCAAAGCAGCTCACTTGGAGGTGTGGGCTAACTGTTGCATTCAGGTGTCTGATCATTGCCGCAATGTTTGTGCGTTCGTCTCGATAGTTTCGTTCGCGTATTTTGTATGATTCAAAAACCATCTTGAATTCCCTTGAGTCCCCATCGTATGCCTCCTTCCCCTCCGCTGAGAGTTCTGAGTATCGAGCTGGTATGGCTGGAGTTTGAACAGCAGGGTTGACTATGTCAACTGTATCTTGTGTAGGCGCTCGGGCATTGGCTCTCGCGGTTCGTGTAGAGGAGGATGGAGCTGATGATGTATTTCTCAGAGCAGCGGCTGGTTCATAGTCGGATACGAGTGGAGGGAGAGGTTCGGTCGGCTTTGTACGAGGCTGAGTGTTGCCCGCTGGATCTACAATGTCCCAGATCTCTAGGGCTTCGCATTGCATCTTGATTTGGCGGTACCAGGGGATCCATTTGCTCGAGTCGGTGAGGATGACTGTTGCGTCCCTCTGGCTCTGGTTTGTCGCCATTATTGCGTGTTCGTTGCTCGTTATAGAGGCAGTGAGACTCTTAATTGTCAGATTAGATGAGATATTGCACAAAAGTGATGGATGTTCATGATTGATTGTTCTTCGTTCTAAGGTGCGCGCTGAGAGTTTTGTTCTGCTAAGACGCTAACCCGTTATTAGCTAGCGGTGTCGGCACTTTCGGCTCGACACGCCTGCTATCTGACAACTATAGGCGCGCGTCGCCTGCTTATTATTGATGGCCATAGGAGCCACTAGTCTCTAGAGTTCTAGGAGCTCTACAAGGAGAACAATATCTATACGCTCTGTATGCCTCCTCACTTATCTCACCTACTCTAGCCACTTAATGTTAGCTGCTTCTCGCCATTGAAGCGCGCGTACAGCCGTGAGGTGGAGAGCCTTATGCGCAACCACATCAACCACATCACTAAGCTAGAGTTTCTGCCAGCGTTTAAGGCTGCGTTTAATCGAGCGTTCACGCTAGCCAACATCTGCTTAGCCTTCCGCGGCGCAGGCCTTGTTCCTCTACAACTAGAGGCTGTTCTATCAAAGGTACGCTGGCAAATGGGTTGGGTATACCCAGTCTTGGGTTGGGGTTGGGTTGGGGTCGCACAGACCATGGGTTAGGGTTGGGTTGGGGTCGCACAGACCATGGGTTAGGGCTGGGCTGGGGTCGCACAGACCAAGTGGTAGGGTTGGGCTTGGGTTGGGCTGGGTTGGGTTGGGGTTGGGTTATATTTTTTGGGTACTTTAACGGAACAACACTTAATTAAGATAATGTGTACACGTTGATGATATAGTAGATACATAAAACGAGATATATTAACACAGCTAATTATCACGGTAGCGCTGAGGACGCTGGCGCTTTCGAGGTGGCAATTGACGCTCCTCCTGGACCTCTTCCTCCGACTCTTCTTCTGTAGTCTGGTTCTCCTCATCTATATCGAAGGTATGCTCTAACGAGGCTGGAAGCTCAAAAAGATCATTAACCTCGTCAATTGGCTCTCCATCCTCCCCTAATTGAGCAACTAGGTAGTCTAGACCCTGTTCTTCCTCTTGAGATATTGTATCCTTAAGAACCATTATCTGCTGTATTGTCCGGGCAGATAGTCGGTGCCTCCGACTACCAATAACATCCTTAGCAACATTGAAAACTCTTTCAACCCCAACCTGAGCAATTGGTATTGCTAGTATATCCTTCGCCACTTGGGATAGTCGTGGGTAGGTAGGCTCGTTCGTCTTCCACCACTCTAGAATATCGAAAGAGTCATCTGTCATTACACAGGCAGTACTAAGGTAGGACTCTCCTTCTTGGCGGGTTGGGCCAGTTGTCTTGTCTGATTCTACTAGTGAAGAGTTCTGGGAAGAAAAGCTGTTTAACGCTGATGTAGGGGGAGGAGCTGGCTTTCTGAACCACTCATTCCCAAGTGACCTCCTTTTGACTATGCTAGAGCCTGGGGTTGAACCTCTCCCGTCCGTATTATCATAACGATCAAGGTAAGCAAGAAATTGGCCTCGGTAGAGATGCTTGTACTGTGGCTCCCATGAATCGTCCTATAAGCGTAATTAGAGCGTGACTGTGATAAATAGCTGTGATAATCATACTTCATATGCTGTAAGCTTCTGCGTTGGATCAAGGATAGTGGCACAATTAAACAAGAACCCACGTTCTGCGTCTGTCTTCGAATAGTACTTGCTCAGTTTTAGACGACCCCTGTCAGCTGCAGCTCGTACTACGTCTAGCCATTCCCTATCATCTTGATTTTCTTCATCCTCATCTAGGTCCTCTGACATTTTGTCCAAGAAATCAAACAGTCGATTGTACATTAACCAAATATACTGAATCTGGGGCTTCTCGTTCTGGCTGAGGAAGCTAGTTGCTGTTTTAAACCGTTTAAGCATCTCAGTAACGAGTTCGAGATGATGCCACTCAGTCGAAGATAAGCGGAGGCGTTTAAGATCCCGGAAATCAATCTCAGCCATTTGATTGTTGTCTAGAGAGCTATCCAGGTGACTACCTGGCCTTAGCAAGATCTCTTGTTTAAGCCATTCATCAATATATTTTTGGATTTTGAGCGCGCGCTCTAACATGTCGTATGTTGAGTTCCATCGGGTTTTCACGTCGCGGATAACAGATAATCGCTCCTTTGGCGGTAGATGTTGTTGTACCGCAATAAACCGCTCAAAGCGTTGAGGTGATACGTCAATAGCGATACAAATCGCCCTTATCTAGTCTATTATTAGTATGTGATAAATGAATGTGTTAAAAGCGAAATACCTTGCGAAGGGAATTTGGGACTGAAATATGCGTCTCAATGTCCTGTATATGACGTCTCTGTAGGGTATCCCTTGCTCCTAACTCTGTAGTTGCTGCTAGCCGAAGGTGTTGGATAATATCCTGGACAACGAGGTTGATAATATGGGCAAGGCAAGGGATAGTGTTTTCTCTGGCACTCCACTGAATGTCGACTTCTTGGAGTTTAGACTGGAGAGTGCGAGCAAGTACGCTATTGTTACTAGCGTTATCACAAGTAATAGCTAGAAGCTGGGTTTTGGTCTTTGTATCCAGAAGAATATGCAGTACCTCGTCTGCCATAGAAGTACCGGTGTGCCTGCCGCGCATAGGGAGAAAGTCAAGTAGCTTTTCCTGAAGTTTCCAGTCTTTGTTAATGTAGTAACCCTTTACCGCAAGAAAGCAGAGGTGATTAGCTGCAGACCAGGCATCTAAGGCGATTGAGATCTTTGTTGATTTTCCAAGATCTCGAAGGATAGACCTTTTTGCTTCCTCATGTTGACTCTTGAATATCGTCTTGAATTTACAACGACTAATTATCACAGTATCTGGTCGAAGGAACCGAAGAAATCGATGGAAAGATGGTCGTTCAACTGTTCGGAATGACCAGTTGCTGTCGATTACTACCCGTACAAGCTCCTTTTCAAAGGTAGTAGTAGTGTAAGCTGGTATTGATGAAGTACTGTTTCTTTGTTGACGTTGGGATAGAGTAGAGGCCGATAAGTCTGCCTCATTATGAATAGGAGTAAGGACATTTCGACAGCTTTTTGTTTTAAGATGAGTAATAAGGTGCTTTGTCCCAATACCACCTAGATTTGGATGCTGGAGTGCAAGACTACAGTTGTAGCAGAACACGTAGGGGTGGCCAGTTCGAAGCTCAGCAGCTTCTCCAAATCGTAACCATACTGTGCCATAGCGAGTAGGAGAGTTCCATCGTGGGTTATCATTTTTAGGGTTTATACCCCAGCTAGTATTACTCCACCACGCTGTCCATGTCCCTAAGATCTCACTTACACTATAATCTTGCAGAAAACGATTATTTGGATATTTCACTAATCCAATCGTTCTCCTGTCACCCCCCTTTGTAACCTGTGGAGAATTGATTTTTAAACAGTTGAGGTCCTCCGGAAATTCAATATTAGTAGGATTAGGCATAAGCTCAATAGACTGTGCAGCTATGTCCATCGCTTCTAGAAAGTAGTAGAATAAGGCATTAATAGTAGTAGCACACAATAGGAAAAAGTTGAGAAGTTTAAGTTTGGATGTAGGACTCAAGGCTTCTCACGCTCCTCTCAGCTTTGCTTGCGCTATGACGCCTGTAATTTAACTTGAAACCTTGGCATATTACTAGCGGAATATCATTTTTAATGCCTCATAGTAAACACAGAGATCGTCAGGAGTGCACGGATATTAATCTGCATAAATGACAGATCACAATCTTAAGTTAAGATTATATGGCGCAATAATCCGTGTTAATTGGTTGTGATAACTGCTTACTATCCCTCAATGCTTGAAAGTGTCTTAGCCTAAAACTCTAATTATCAGACTCAGAAGCGGCATCAGAATCCGGAAACCCCTCAAATTCAGAGTCCTCAGATTCCTCAGACTCCTCAAGCGCTGCCTGCTTCTGTACAGCAGCCCACTGGTCGTCATCCTCGTACTCGTCTTCAAGTGAATTGAAATGCTCCTCAAGATCAGAGTCATAGTCAACCTCTTCTTCACACTCATCGCTATCGTCACCTTTAACGTACGGCTTATCACCCTCCAGCTCAATATCAGCGTCACCAAGTAAGTCGAGAATGCTAGGTGGCTCCCGTTGCCTTATTATATTAGTATCTCTGTGATAAAAGGATGTGATAAACTTACTGCCAGTCATTATCAGTTACGACTTTCATCTCATCAGGTGTAAGTTCCTCCACGAACTTCTCAAACTCTCTCTTAGCCTCCTTGCTCTCAAAGTCGTTGTTGTTAAGCTTTGCTAATCCTTCTTGATAGGTCTTTCGAAGAATCTTTTGCAAAACACCACCTGAGCCGTAAATTCTTGCTATTCCTCTACCACTAATGTCATGGGTGGGCTTGTCATCTTTGCTAAGCACTTTCGCAATCGTGATCTCGTGTTTTCTCATATCCACCTGCTTAGTGATCGCATCCCATTTACGATGCACATGAGTTAGGTTTGTCTCTAGCCATTCAGCTATAGTCTATTAGCAGATGTCTATGATAAACAGCTGTGATAACTTACCAGACTTTTTCTGGGTAAACCGCTTCTCTGAAAGTATATCCCACTCTTTCTCTAGCAGCTTAGCCTCTCTAGCACTATTTGCTAATTTATACTTAGGCTGTTGCAAAAGCGATTTCTTCAGTTGGTACTTCGCGGAGCGGTCGGCTGTTCTAACGCTTTCAAGTACCTTCTCCTCTTTATCGAAAAGAGCTTTGCGTTCACGTTGAGCAATAGCACAGGCGCTACCACTCAGAGAGCCAGTATAGGGGACGCTCAAATTGATAGGTCGGCCTTTTCGTGAACCCCCACTACCTCTTTGATCTAAGATACCGTCAATCTCGTCAGCTTCACACGCAAATCCCTGCTTATATTAGCATAAGCTGTGATAAATGGCTGTGATAATTACATCGGTAAGCTGCTCCCACTCATCTTGTTCGAACCCAGGCGGAGGTTCAAGTTTGATGGCTGGAACTAGGCCTTCAGGTACGTCGCCGACTTGCTCTTTCGCGACAGGCATGGCGGGGACTGTGATAATGCGCTGTTGTAAATGGGGTGTTTTCAATGTAGTAAAGAGAGTTATTAGGTGTTGGGAGTTACTGGGCGTCAGGGGCTGGAGAAATGGGTAGACAGCATTATGCTCACCTAGAAATGGTCCGTGCGCTGCTGCCTGCGCTAGCGCGAAAACGCGGAAATTACCCAAAATGATCAACACATCGATGATTCCTTCATTTTTGGGCTGCACGCATGCGCGAGCTCGGCGTTTATCACAGCAGTTTAACACGTTTGTATGATATGCTCGCTACTGATTTTGCAACAGAAATGGTTGTATGCGATCGTGAAACAGCAAATTACGTCATGCAGTCCGTGCGCTGCTGCCTTTACTAGTGCGGAAATCGGGAAATTGCCGTCGCCCAAACTTTCCAGCTACCTAACTCTTTCAGCCTACTACTTTCTTAATTGTCGAACACATTTATCACAGTAATTAATCACATACGTCGCCTACGTTCATCATCTACTCTACTACGCAATGGCAAGGACAAAACCACGGCCTAAGGTCACCGGTAAAGCCGGCCGGGGTGGTCCTGATGGCAAGACAGTTACTGGCGGCAAGCCGGCTCAGAAGGCCCTTGCTAGTAAGGCTAGACGTCAAGTAGCAGGAAAGTCTACGCGAAAGGCACCTGTAGCTGTTAAGAAGAAGCGCAAGTTTAAGGCCGGCAGTAGGTTATCACAGTCGTTTATCACAGCTATTTTCTAATTTAGCTTAGCTGTCGCATTACGGGAAATCAAGAGATACCAGAGAGGTTTTGAACTACTCTTGCGAAAACTCCCCTTTTCCCGCGTAGTGCGCGAATTTGCACAGGTGCACAAGGCCGATATCCGCTTTCAACGATCTGCAATCGAAGCTCTTCAGGAAGCTACAGAAGCTTTCTTAGTTGGTTATTTTGAGGGTATAGTCTATCTACCCTATACTATTTTTCATTTAATAACTTTTATAGACTGCAACATCAATGCTATTCACGCAAAGAGGGTTACTATTCAAGAGAAGGATTCTCAATTGGCTAGGCGCTACTTTGCGCGCGAGTTACTAGCTTTTCTCTAGATTATAAGATATATCTAGATACACGTGCTTAAATGCTAGCTGGCGAAGCCTCTGTATATTATAAATGAAACTAGTTAATGCTACACTGTGTTAATCTACTGTGATACTATATAAACTTTTCTTTTATTGAAATCTATATTATACATCTTGCAATTTTTTTACTATAACCCAACCCTAACCCATGGTCCGTGCGACCCCAACCCAACCCTAAGCTTGGCGCTGACAAATGGGTTGGGGCTGGGTTGGGGTCGCAAAATTTCTAACCCAACCCCAACCACACCCCGACCCATTTGCCAGCGTAATCCAACCAGTCTGCCCTTCTATGCGCGATGTCTGCCTTACAGGTTCTAGAATGTACTATATAAGCCCTATTGCCTTATTAAAGATAGTATTATTATCTTTTTCTATATAGACAACATTATACTCGTATACTATAAAGATATAGAGCAATCCGCCTAGTAGGCAATTACCCGCCTATAGGAGAAGTACCTCTTTACTAGGGGAAACAACCTATAATAGTTCCTCGGCGTTGAGATTATCTAAGACTAAAAGGCACGGACGATCTAGCTATTATAGGTGGCCTACGCAGATAAGATTAGTAGACTAGCTAACTATACTAACATTAGACACAACACGCTAATAGCGGCTACTAAGCTACTCCCTAGAGACGGCCTCGCCTCCCTATTAGAGATGAACAAATACTAGCGTAAGATAGGCTTACTCCTCTTCGCAGCTATAACTACTAGACTAGATATCGCCTTTGCGACATTGTAGCTCGCCCGCTTTTTCTCTAATCTAGGACTAGAGCACTATAACGCTGCTAACTAAGTTCTTTTATATCTACTAGTAATAAAACACCTCGCGCTATAACTTAGAGGAGGCACTAGACTATAGATAGCTAGCGACACTTTCTTTACTAATAATATTTTAGACAGGAAGAGCTTATAAGGCTACGCGATTAAGCTATTTAATAGACTAATCGCATAGAAAGCTAATAAATAAGATAACATGGTTGGCAAGCGAGCGGCGCACCCAAAAACACACCAAAAAGCGGAGTTTTGGGAACTGAATATCTCAACAACCACCAAATAGATTTTTCTTAAAAGTTTTACTAGAACTCTAGGATTATAATTCTATAAGATCCTATGATTATAGGGCCCTAGCTACTCTAGATGTAGAGATATAGAGTCTGGGGGCTAAAAATGTGGAAATTTTTCGTTTTTGCTTGACAACCCTACAACCAAGTTAGCTATAGTTCTATAACTATACAATCTACATGCTTATGTGTGTGCAGCTTCACAGTAAGATTTTAAGAAAAATCTATTTGGTGGTTGTTGAGATATTCAGTTGCCAAAACTCCGCTTTTTGGTGTGTTTTTGGGTGCGCCGCTCGCTTGCCAACCATGTTACTATTATAATATTTATAATAAAAGCTAAGCTTCTCGCTTTATCTTAAGTAGCTAAGGAAGCTCTATTCCTATCTCGTCTTCTTAAGGAGCTGAACATCTAGCTAGAGAGCCCTAGTATTACTATTTAATGCGGTAAAAAATAGACTATTCGCCTAGTTACTAAAGAGGTCTTAAAGCTTTAAACTAAACTTAGATATGTTAATATACATAATTACTAGATTAGATAAGAGGTGTCGACAGGCTAGATCTCCGTAGAGTATAGGCTTTCCGCAGATATAATTGCTAATAGTCTTACTAAGTTATTACTACTAAACAAGTAGCTAGAATTCCTAGAATAACTAAGACTAGTCCCTACTAAGGAAATCCTAGCGAGAAACTTAGCACTACTTAAAGAAATTCAAGAAAAACTTAAAAATCTCGTGGTAAGCCTTAAGTAGGACTAAGTGCCTAGCTTATAAGCGTAAAGAGCGTCTAAGCTAAAGGGGTGTGTTAGATAATAGCACTATTAAAAATGAGAGCGTACAGACGCTAGGTTAGACTAGCGCGACCTAGCATCTGTGAGAGCTAATCAGATCACAGGAAGGCTTGGCACCCCCTAGGTGAGCCCACAACCGTAGGCAGAACCACGACATAATTAATTATCAATATTATCACCATCATTACCTATTTCATCAGTATTCCAGATGAGAGTGAATATCTGACAATTATTAGTAGACGGAGAATAGGTCTAGTTAGTTAAACGAGTTTCAGATAAAAGAATAATAAAGCATGTAAGGAAAGGATTAAAGGAGTTATACGTAAAATAAGTAGACTACACTAAACTAATATAGGAACCTGTAAGTAACAAACTTAAAACTAACGCTTAGAAGGAATAGATAAAACTACGCGCTAAGAAGAAAGGAGGGGGGTACTGTAACGGGCTGAGCCCTAGGTCACATGACTAGGCCGCTGGCCTAGTCGCTTCCTTCCTTCTATCACTCCTTACCCCAGCAGCCCGTGCGCCGTACGCCAACCCAAACAAAGCGGGATGGCCGCTCACTTCCTCTTCTTCTCTTCATCTCGACTGTAAATAGCATCTGGATTAGGTAGCTGGAATACAGTACCTACAGACCGTTCACACGCAGTACGTCGGGAGCCCAAGCCCCTCCACCTCCCGACCACGTCGAAGGGTCACATCATGGTCACTCCACTGAGTGCATGCGCGCTATCAATGAGCGTTAGATTTCCCAGTCGACTTGTGCCTCCCTAGCATCAGTAGTAAAACATTAATTTTTTGGGATGTTAAACTGTGCTAGATTCTATCGATCCATCGCAGCCTCGGTAGTCGTTAAACTTCCTATGACCGCAAAACATATCAGCAAGGTGATGGCGTAGCTAATCGTCAAAAACTTCGCAATCGTCATCTTCATTGACTCTGGTGCGCCTGTCACGTCTGTAAGGGCAACCAGGATCATCGTGGGCGGCCCTGTAGGCACGAGCATTATGGCAGACCAGAGCATCGGGTCGGCATCTAGCAGGTGCGTCTTCGATGCGAGCGCTCAAATCAAGGGAATGCTGATTAATGGCTAGATGATGACCCGGATGAGCGCACAGTCCGCAATAAGCAAGCCGGGATAAGCTCGTAGCTATCCAAGGCATACCAAATCAGATAAAACAATTACCAGGCGACAATTTTGTGGGAGGCATTTGGCAGAGTCATCTTTTCGAAGAGCTCTGCTAGTGGTTGAATGAGCCAAAACAAAGGTCTACAGACTAGAGAGCGCCCACGTGGAGCTGGGCTTGTAGGGGTTCCCAAACGAGCCCCAGTCTTCTGTTCCCATTTCACGGAGAGCACTCGGGTCGACATATAGAAGCGCAATTTGTTGATCTCAACACAAGAGCCGGGGCCTTCGGCGAGGTAGAGTACGTTGCGATAGATGTCAAGTGCAAGCTATTACGCGCGATATTTACACCTGCGACAGCCTTGGAACGCCTGGAAAAAGATTTGACCGGGATGATTGAGCGGATCGATGGAAGAGATATGTTGCAATGCAGAAATCCCCCAAGAGTGGCGAATCCAGACCTGGCTCTCAATATAGACAGCCCTACCGTTGGGATGTCACACAAACAGGACGGCTACATCGTCGTTCTTCAATGATGCTTTCACGACCAAAGGTTGAGAGCACTTATTAGACCAGGTGTAGAATCTAGCTCCAGTCCAGAAGTTTGTCAAAGGATCGGGACATCCCAGGAAGGCGGCGGTTTTGAAGCCCTCTTCTTACAGAAATCTAATGAAACGGGAGATAACTTCGAGAGACGAGGTTTTATTCGCTGCACCGGTTTCTTCACCGTCAGTGTAATATACAAGGCGCACCGTGAGGCAGAAGAGAGGGTCATAACGCTTATCTAAGCAAGGTTACGTGCACAGTGCAAAGAGAGGAAAGTACCTTCAGTTTGAAGAACGTTTCCAACACGTTGCGTACCGCTCAGGTGCACATCAGATTCTTCACGGCAGCCATATGTCTCTCTTTCACAACCCCGTACCACTCGAATCCAACGACATGGTACCTATCATCATCGACGACTTTGACCGTCCATATCCAGATCAGCAACAGCAGCGTGTCAATAAAGTCTTGCTTAGGCGGCACCTCTCACGCGCAAAATTGTCCAGCGCACAGTATATTGTAGAAGATAAACCTAGGAATAAGAGACAGATCAGGGCAACTCCAGCTCGCATTAAGGAGACCTTGTCGCTATTCTTAAGTCAGGCCTTAGACGCAACCAACGGTATACCACAACTCGATCACATCAGATAGCTTAGATGCAGTCTCAACGCGGTGTAGAGAAAGTACAATGTACAGCAATCAACTAGCACGCCTGGTCGTCCGCAGTGCAGGATCATCCTCAAAGCTTTGCAGGGTTGTTCACAGCGTTCTCCATTGTTACTCGAGTTTCTCCATCGTAGGTCCTCAACGCCTCACGTGCTTCTGCAGCCTCGTCTAAGAGCAACTTCTTGATCGCGTCTGAGCGTGGGATGAATTGCACCTGGAAAGGCTCCGGCCGCATATTCTCGCTGTTGGTGTAGGCAAATATGTCCAACTTGACTTCATTTTGCTGGTGCAATGTGTGAGCGGAGCAAACATGTATAGTGAGCGTTCCCCAAAAAGACGAGAACACTTACATTCTGGTCAAGGCCCGGCAAAATATTAAAAGCCCATATCATTCGCGCGAGAGAGTAAAAAAGACCTTGTTCGGCAAGCGGCTGACCGCTGCACTGCCTACGTCCCCAACCGAAAGGATTCATGCCATACTTGTTCGGGTAAGGTTGTTTCGCGCTATCTTTGCCATCAAAAAATCTCTCGGGTATAAATCTGTCCGGATCTGGAAAGTCGCGCGGATGTCTATGGATGGCCCACATGTTGCCCGTAAAGTTGGTACCAGCTGGGAAGTGGTAGCCCTTGTAATCGAAACCTACGGTATTAGCATGAGGAATGCCTGCTAGTACAGTCACAGTCCTCCATCTAAGCGTTTCTTTGACCTGTGGAGTGTTAGACATAAGACCGACATTTGTTATGCCTACAACTTACGACTGCAGTCAAGTATGGCAGCGCATTCGAGTCGATGTCATCCCAGTTCGGAGAGCGATCATTTCCAACGACTGCATCAAACTCAGCGTGGACTTTTTCTTGTACTTCAGGAAAGTATGCCATTGCGAGAATGCACGATATCATGGTGCTGCTGGTCGTGTCTACTCCACCCCCAATCAGATTAGCCATCAGGCCTGCAACCTCGATATCTGTCATGTGGCTAGCTTGCTGAGAAGCCATGACGTGTTTCCCGAAGTTATCTTCGGCCGCTTCCGCACTTTCCTGTGTGAGTAGGTAGAAGTAGCGCGACAGTATACTGGCACCTAATTGCATCTGGCTTGGCAACGCGTATAGCCAAGCAGGCAATCGTATCAAACCTGGAACGGCTTCCATGAGATAGATACCAGGGACGACAAAATTAACGGCTTCCATCAGTTTAAGGGCTTGTTGGGCAACGTAGTCGTTCTTGCGATCAACACGCCGACCCCAGCCTACGATGGAGGTAACGGACACAGAATATCGCTCGATAGAGAGCTCAAAATCATGCGGCTCTAGAAGCAAGTCACGGACCAGAATCGCTGACTCGTGAGCCTGGAATGTACGATATTTTCGTACGGCTTGGGAGCCAACGGCCATGTGCTAAGCTGTTAGCTTGTTCTATAACAACCGTGAACAGGGTAAAGTCATATACCATAAGCTTTCGGTGTTTCCTCCATCGGTCGCCGTATGGCAATGTAGTTTGATTCGTGTTTGTAGCGTTGATTGCATCGCCCATAGCGATTAATCTCGGTCTGCTTGAGAAGATATCCGATCTTTTCTCTAGCAGGTCACTCGCGACCCACGCATCGCTCAATATGATGCGCGGCTGCCGTCCGATCCAGAGGGTAATCATAGGTGAATCATAGTGTTTAGCCCATTTTTCCCATGTAATCCATGGCTTGTGCGAAGGCGTCTGGAAGTGATTTCCAACAATAGGTAATGGAAACGGTCCTGGAGGGAGATAACGTCGCCGCCATAGCATATAAACGTAGTCTGTAATTAAGGCGAAGAAGGGAAAGAAGGCTATGAATTTGAGCATGTTTCTCAGCTAGGAAGTCTCTGATGGCTAGGCGCGTGATGTGTTTCTAAAGGTATCCTAATCGATACAATTTATAGCTTAGGAAGGCAGACGGCCTAACTAGTCGACCGGACCGTACGTCGTCCTGGGGAGCTGGGGACTATCCCAACAAGAGCAAGAACCCTGTGTTGTCTGTGCACGATCCCCAATACAAACTTGGAAGCCTTGCCTTTCTATAAGGTGCGGGGTAGCGAGTGGAGGTGCGGGGAAGCGAGTATGTGGAATCGGACCGATTGTCCTGGAGACAGGCGTGTGGAATATCTACTGCTTCCCCAACGATGAGTCTCATTCTACAGTAGACGTGCTAGATGTAAATGAGGCGGCTGGGGTGTGAGGAGGTGGTGAGATCATGCTGCATGCTGCACCTGGTACGGAAGATGTGGTTGAGACAACAATTCGAGGTCTCCCGGCATCACTGCGGGGCCGCCAAACATTGTCTCCGCGATCACGAAGCGACAAAAGCCTCGAGGCAACGCTTAAAACCCTTAAGGATTCATGACCGCTCATCCGACGATATCAGGGCCATTCATCTTACCGAAATCGAACCGAATCGAATAAGTCATGACGACGGTCAAAACAAACATGCTCTACAACACGAACACTTAACATAAAATCAGTTAACTTCAACTTTAAGCATATATACTTTTAATAACGTACCTCACGGGCGAGTGGGCCACACGGGCGAGTGGGCCACTCCGCTAAGACCCCACCAAAACATACTGTTACCTACAGTACTTTCACAATGAGCCAACAACAAAACAATCTACCAGCTTTAAAAGAGGCTCGATTACAGCTTGCTCTCAAGGCTATCGAACGCGACGCGACGCTGTCGCAGAGACGCGCTGCAGCTATCTACAACGTATCTCGAGTAACTCTTGGGCGCCGACGCGCTGGAATACCTCTTCGGAGCGATTGTACGCCTAACTCAATGAACCTCCTTAAGACAGAGGAGGATGTAATTGTCCAGCATATCCTTGACCTCGACGCGCGAGGATTTCCGCCCCGACTTGCTGCTGTGCAGGATATGGCTAATTCTTTGTTGGCTGAGCGCCACCGCGACCCTGTTGGTCAGAACTGGGCTGCAACCTTCGTCAAACGTCGCCCTGAGCTTAAGGTCAAATTCAATCGCAAGTATGACTACAAGCGAGCCCTCTGTGAGGATCCTGAGGTTATACAAGGCTGGTTCCGACTTGTGGAGAACACAAAGGCCAAGTACGGTATCCTTGATGAGGACACCCACAACTTTGACGAGTCTGGCTTCATGATGGGCATGATATCAACTGGAGCAGTAGTCACAGGCTCTGAGCGTCGAGGACGACCAAAGAGCGTTCAGCAGGGCAATCGCGAGTGGGCTACAGTGATCCAGGGTATCAACGCGACTGGGTGGGCAATCCCACCTTTTATCATCTTCAAAGGCAAGAACCACCTCTCTGCCTGGTACAAGGAAGATAACCTACCTCGCGACTGGGTTATTGCAGTCTCTGAGAACGGCTGGACAACAAACAAGCTTGGTCTAGAGTGGTTAAAGCACTTTGACGCTCACACAAAGAAGAGGACTGTAGGAAACTATCGTCTGCTTATTATCGACGGCCACGAGAGCCACGACTCGCTCGATTTCCAGCAGTACTGCAAGGATCACAACATTATTACTCTCTGCATGCCTCCTCACTCGTCGCACCTACTACAGCCTCTTGATGTGGGGTGTTTCTCGCCTTTGAAGACAGCGTATGGCCGCCAAGCCGAGGATCTAATGCGCAACAAGATCACCCATATCACTAAACTAGAGTTCCTACCGTGCTTTAAAGGCGCTTTTGACGCTGCGATTACAAAGGCCAATATACAAGGAAGCTTTCGAGGCGCTGGCTTAGTCCCATTTAATCCAGAGGCTGTGATATCGACGCTTGACGTGCGGCTGCGCACTCCACTGCTACCTACCGTCGAGGACGGTCCCTGGCAGTCGCAAACTCCAAGCAATACCCTAGAACTTGGGTCGCAATCAAAGCTGATTCAAGAGAGGATTCGAAGACATGTAGATAGCTCACCTACGTATATGGTTGAGGCGATCAAAAGCCTGTCAAAAGGTGCAGAGATGATAGCGCATTCTCTGGTGTTAATGACCAAGCGCAACGCTGAGCTCCAAGCCGCCAACGAGGCCTCAAGTAAGCGTAGATCATATAAAAGGAAGCGCTTACAGCAGCAAGGGACCTTAACAATTGATGAGGGCGTGCGACTGACGACTCTTAAGGAGTTTGGGGCATGTAGTGATAGGAAGAAGGCGAAGAAGAGAGTGCGCGTTGAGGCAGGCGAGCCTAGCCAACGACGCTGTGGACGCTGCGGCGAGGCAGGACATAATATGCGCACATGTAGGCAAGAAGCAGCGATAGATTCTGAGTAGAATAGCCTATTACGATTTCTATTTACTATCTTTGACGGTGCTATATAGTCGTGTACAGTCGTGGTTTTAATGGGGTCTTAGCGCAGGTGGCCCACTCGCCCGTGTGGCCCACTCGCCCGTTAGGTACGTTATTCTGTTTCTATGTGCTGTAAGTAGATTATCCTAATTGCGTTTCGTTGTCGCGTTGTAGTGCTCAGAAGTTGGGACAGTTCGAGCTGCAAGGAAGGCGCTACCGTGCCCGTGCACCCAACGAGCCAGTTCGGCCAACGAGCCACCCGAACAACAACAGGACTCCAGAAAGATGAGGCTGTACAGCCACTCACAGAAGCGATTATCGCGGAATTTCTTAGTGTATTGATATATAGATGTATGCGAAGCTTTCTATCTACTCAGAATATTTTTTAGGTGGTCGTACTGAGCATGTGCGGGTGGACTTGGTTAGAGGAGGCGGCGGCTCAGGTGCAGCCTCAGGCTCAGTTCGAACACCAACAACACGACGACGCTTTGTCGGATTATTTGCAGCTTTGTGTGAGGCTTTCCGCTTAGGTTTATTAGGTGTATCGTGGGATTTTTGTGAAGTTGCAGCTTCGCGTTACTGCTTTTTGAGAGCCCTCACTGCAGCTGGTTCATCCGCCCGCGCTTTCTTCGCCTTGCGCCTCTCTTCAGCGGCTTCTTGTCGAGCCACCTTTGTAGCTCCAGCTTGCTTCTTTTTTTATAAGTTTGCCGCCGCTTTCAGCTCTCTATCGTGAGTTTTCTGGAGTCGTTCGCACTCAGCTTCGCTCTGCTGCACGGCCTTGCGCGCCTCAGCTTCGTGGAGTTTCCTTGAAGACCAGAAAACTCCAGCGCTGTGGTACTCCTCGCGCTGCTGAAGGTCTAGAGTATTGCGCTTCTTCCTGTGCTTCTTCTTAGTGTTTAGCGCGTCTCGTAAACCTGCGTTTTCCTCGCGAAGAAGCTTGTTGTTAACCTATAGCGCCTCTACTCTCTCCAGCAGCTCGCTGGCTTGAGCTTTAGCTCTATCCTCAACTAGTTCGTCAAGTGAATTGGTAATCTTCTTGGGAGTATCGCTGCCGCTGCTGTGTCCACGTTCTAGGTCATGATCTCGTCGCGAAGGGCGGTTTTCGAAGCGCTTCAGTACAGCGTCCGCATCCATCGGCCACACTCCTGTACAGTGCCCGTGCGCCATGTGAGCCAGTTCGGCATGTGAGCCACCCGAACATCATAACATTGTAATCGTCCCAACTTCATCGCACCACAACTCCACAACCATAAGTCTAATTTAGAAAGCGATTAAAGATATAGAATTGCACGAAGAAGACGCATCTTCTAGCTATCGCGAAGTTACAAAAAAGTGTAATATTAATAGAACAACGTTATTAAGGCAGCACTAGCGCATTACACGCTTAAATGCAGACTAAAGAGAAGCGTAATAACTACTCTACCTACAACAAGAGCTAGAATTAGTAGAAAATATAGAAAGATATATAAGGTGAGGCTTACTACCTTTGTAAAAGAAAATACAGAATTTCACTAGTATAGTTATAAAATACGAAGTTTCTAAGAGCTAGAAAACGCGCTTTCTACATTATTATAAGAATAAACTTACTACTAAGTAGAGCGCTAAAATTAATCGTAACTACTAAGACGCTAATAGTAAAGCTAAATATAAGTTATAATTTTCTCTCTTTTATTCTAAGATGCGCTAGTTCGACACTAACAAGCGTAACACGTATAATATAGATAAGAAGAGCTTCTTTATTAGTATTATAACTAGGACTAAAAAAGTTTTTATAAAGCGAGTATAAGCTTTAAAAGTGTATAATACCGCTAGATAAGATAGTAATAGGGAGTAGGTAACACTCCTAGCTTACGTGTGCGCTTTAGGAGAGTTACTGCCGCTGTTGCTTATCTAGTAAGGCATATCTAGGTTTTAATCAAGCTAGGTTAACGATGTAAAGGCTAAGGAATAGCTAGTTTTCTTCTCTAACTTACCTATAGGATAGAATAATAATAAGCTTAGTCTTGCTTAGCTTTAGTAGGTGTTTAATTACTATACAAAGGCGAAAGCGCGCTTAAAATAGTGTCTCCTATTCCTTAATAGCTACGGTAGCCGCCTTACGTGCGATTTTATAGATTTCTGCGACTATAATCACATCCTTATCGCCCTCTTTTCCCCCTATTTAACCTATAGCCTCTAGCTACTTAATATAGTACTATTCTTATAGCTCTTAAAGAGCTATACTTAAGAACTTAACTACTACCTATAGCGATCGTAAGGTAGGTTAAGAGCTATAAAACGTAACTTCTTTAGTAGCTTTTAGGCGGCGTAAAGCTTTATAATAAGGCTAGATCTTATAATAAAGATTTTTTAAGCTATAGGTGTCACGAGAGGCAGCGAGCAGTAATCTCAGAACTTATGAAGAAGTTTGATTGGTGTGCTACGTACAGTACTCAAGTGTAAATACAAGACGTTGCGTGAAGAAAAGAAGTAGAGAGTTCCACCCAAGAAAGATACATAGCGGAAGAAAGCTCGTGTAATATTATACGGTTGTTAAGGCAGTGGCATACTGTCGAGGATAGTACATTGCACTGTTGCGATAGGAGCGTGCGGATTAGAGATAGGAGCGTACGGGTTAAGAGCAGGAGCGCATAGGTCAGAGGCAGGAGTGTTAAGGGGACCACGGTGGTTACTGTGACAGTACCCCCCTCTTACTCTTGAGCTCTTAAGAGAGTAAGTAATGGTAGTATTATTTCTAATGTCGGGTTAAGTTTATATTAACGGTTTTAGTTTTTCTAGGACCTTTTCGTAGAAGTAAATAATAGCGTCGTTCTCTTCTAGCTCTTCGGCAGGTTCCTAAGAAAGTTCTTTATAGCTAACCTATTTTACGAGGTACTCGTGTCGCTTTTGTTGTTTATTGTAGCAGAGGTTCTTAACGCTCTTAATAAAGTAATATAGCTTACTGTCTACGACTACTAGCTTAGGTAGCAGTACGTGCTAGCAAGGCAGGAAATCTAATTTTGCTGCCGTAAGTCGGAGGAGGGATACATAAAAAACTAGATGAATCTTTATTATAGCGGGTAGGTCGAGGTAGTATACGTAAGAGGAGATCTTCTTAACTATACGGTAAGGACTAAGGTTCTTTTAGTTAAGCTTTTTTAAGGCGCGTTGTGCTCTAATGTTATAGGCGTTAAGCTATGTAAGGGGCGAGAGTCTATAAGACTATCGGCACGACTACATGCACCACGCCTGCGCAAAAGGCATGCACAAGTTGAATCAACGCGATTCAGCTTGCGTAGTCGATATTTATGTAGGAGGCATGACTGCGCTGCTCTCTTAGTCTACAAGTAGGCCTACATGGGTCTAGCCCATCACAAGCTAGACTTCGTCGCTAACCTCGTACACTAGTGCTAGCGACTATTTTTAGTTAGTATATTCTTATTGCATAGCTTATGCCTATATTATTTCTTCGCGGATAAACTTAGTTACATCGCGCATCTTCTTAAGTATCTAATTTACTTCTTAAGCCTATAAGGCTTAGTACGCAGGTCTCTTTATGCTAGAGGGCAGTTTAAAACCTATTTAAGGGTTCTAGCTGTAATAGGCTATTATTAGGGATACCCTAGTAGATTTAGATATAGTATTATTAGCTTCGAACTAGGTAGTAGGTAACTAGCTTACCTAGTTATCCTATCTGTAGTTTATGTACGCGCGTAGGACTTATTCTATAACAGCGTTCATACTCTTAGTTTAACTATTAGTTTAAGATAAAATTCTATTAAGAAGCGCAGGTCGATTTTTAGTTATTTACATAATTTCTTGTAAAAGGCGAAGACGAACTAGCTACCTTAGTTAGAAATAATCGTGTCTAGGAGGCCGTGGTTATACCACACGTAGCGGAGGAACATTCGTGCGACGTCTACAGCTTCCATCTTAGTATAAGGGATTATATAACGGTATTTTATTAATTAGCTAATAACTACTATAATATTTTAATATTCTTTAGATTTAGGGAGATTAATAACGAAGTTAATAGAGATGTCTTACTATCTCTGCTTAGGTATAGGCAGCGGTTTTAGAAGGCCGTAGTACTTCTTGCGAGAAGCCTTTAAACGGCAATAGATATAGCAGCAGCTAATATATTAATAAATTATATTAAATACATAGGGCTAGTAGTACTCGCGTTAGACGAGTTAAAGTGTTTTACTACGGCTAAGATAGCTACTACACGCGGAGTTATGTGCTGTGTAGAGAATTTTAATCTCAAGCTTATTATTGTTAGGTATAATAAGTTAGTCGCGATAGTATAAGCGTCCTCCTCTAGTTTTGCATTCGCTTAAGGTTAAGATCTTTAACTATTAAGCACTATCCTTGAGTAGTTGCAAGGTTTCCTTAACTAGTAAGTTAAGTAGGTTAGCTTAGTACTTATCCTTAATAATTTAATAGATAGAGCGATATATTTCTATAAGGTAGATTTCTACTAGCGCCTTAAATAGTTTAGGTCTTAGTAGCGTCTACTTTTAGGCTTCTTAGGCTTCGTCTTAGGCGAGCTAGTCTTAAGAATGTTAGGTAAGGGTATTAGGCTTTTCGCCTTACTTTCTAGGGCGGTATATAATTATAAAGTTAAATTATAATAAGTATTTAGCCTCGCGTGCTTATTAGTAGCTAAGCTACTTCGTTATTATAAAGTACTGTAGATTCTTATAATCGCTTAACATAGTAATAGGAAACGTAGCTCCTTCTAGTTTAGGTCTCTACTATTCGAAGCATTATACGATAGCTAGCAGCTCCTTATCGTAAATCTCGTAATTATTCTTAGCTAGGTTCATCCTTTTAAAGTAATAAGCGATAGGCCTAAGTATCCTATTAGTGTCACGCTGCGATAGCACTCCTGCGGTAACGTAGTTAGAGGCGTTAGCCTTTACAATAATTAGTAAATTAGGGTTAAAATGTTAGAGGATTAGAGCTATAGTAAAAGCGTGCTTAAGATTATTAATAGCCTTTTAGCAGGCGTTGTTAAAGGCGAGTTTACATCTTTCTTT